AATAATGCTGTAGTGTGAGGGCGCTCTAAGTTTGACTCTATAATAAGCTGCAACAGATACTGGGGTCTGATGGTTCTGCAAGGTTGACATGGACATATTTTGAAAAAGCAAATACTGGCGTACTGTTAGCGGTGGGTTTTGTTGTACTACAGATGTAACAATAAAAACAGTTTTTTACGTGTAACATGTCGAGAGTAGTTTATAGGAGAAAACCACTCAAAAGTTAATGGTACACAGTGTTGGATTTAGCAACACCTTGTGGTGAAGTTGCTCATTGCAGCTGAATTATTTTCAGCGTTAATCAAGAAATCAAGAAGTGATTTGTGTTCATTTACAAACCCAATTGCATAATATAATTTCTACTCATAAAAATAGTCTGCATCCTAAAAAGTGGAGACGATTGCAAAGAAAGGATCAGCTATCCGGACATTTTGATGTCATTTATCGGCTTTTGTTGGACTAAAACAGTTCCCTCGTGGTGTCTTGAGGTGTCTTTGACAGGTGTGGAACCATTTTACATTTGTCATTTGAGAAGCAATTGTTATCCGCTGGTATTTTATGCCACCTAGTGGTAATTTTGAGGACTGTCGTTAGTATTTTCTACTTAGAGACGTGACAGAAAACGACACTAATCTGTACATGATTTTAAAAATCAAAAAGCCGTCCTCTGCAGTCGAATGCAGAACACATTCACGGTCGCCACTTGGCCGTTACAGTATACTAGACTTAGATCATCCTTCAGAACCAGTGATCTGCATAAAATCATGACGTCAACGCGGTAGAAAATGTGATGGGCTAAAGTGCCTACAATAATTATAACAATAACACAACATATATTACATAGTTATATATTTTTTAAATAATAGGGCTTACCTCATGAGCCTTACACATAACTGACCTGGGATCAGATGTAATATCCTCAATAACAATAAAATCAATAATAATACAGAGGTCAACTGACCTGCGATCAGATTTAATAATAATAAGGATTATAACAAGAGTCTGTATGCTAGGTTAAACTACCATGGTGCCACCAATCAGAGCACGGCAATGTAGCCGTTATTAACATTGACGCTAATACAATTTCACTATTGTGGACAATGAAGCTAAAGTCACCAACTGACCGCTCTCTTTATAACTGTGGCTCCCACTATTGCGCCACCTAGAGCTACTGTTATTTTTATGTTCACACAAATTCATTAAATAGCAGCAACAACAACATGTTAAAAAAATCAGTGATAAAAATGACAAGATTGAAATCAAACAACTGAAAAACCTTCGAGTCAATTAGTACATCTGAAGATAAATGTGTCTTCAAGTGTGGATGTGATTCAAGAGAGGAGACACTGCAGGAAGGACATCAGTCAGTTTGAATAATTGATGCACACCAAGTACATAAAAGGCAAAAAAATTTATTCAGTCTTTTAACAGATAGCAAGAGACAGATCATTTAATTTTAAAATCAACTTTTGGAGAAACATTTCTTTATGTGCACACATTGCATTTACTCAGTAGGAGGGTGATTTAATGGGGAGTCTCAGGTGGACATGGAGCTAAAGGTCAGTAAACACAGGTCATGACCAATTGGGGGGGGGGTGACACTCTTAGAATTTCACATCAAAAACAAGACGAAACTTCCCTTATTAAAATGCTTGGTTTTAGGTCAAATGGACGACAACATGAAACCCCCTTAAAAACACATGCAGCGATGTTACCACGCCAGCACCGCGTCCAACCCCTGACTCGTCTAATGCGCGATACCAGCACGGGGGATATAAGTCAATATTGTTAAAAATCTTGCACATACGAGAGAAGAAAAAAAAAACAGCCACAGGACAGTCTCGCTTTCACGATTCCCGCCATCTTCAAGTATTCCCTCAAACCTCTGCACAACACTTCAAGTATTCCTGCTTCCCATCGCCTTCAGTTTAATCACAACTTCTTAGGTTTAACAACATAAGCTATAAGTGCACTCAAAATTCATCTATACATAGAAAAATAATAACAATAGGTAGCAGTAATAATAGTTATAACAATTATCTTTACATTTCATTTTATACACAACTGTGACACTGGATTTCTATAATAACGTGGCATCGCGTTCTCCCGGCCCCTGAGTGTAAATGTTCAAGTTTAACTTTCTTAATCTGTTTGACTGCAGACAGGAACAGTAACCTTGGTTGACTTTTCCTATTTTATTTTAAATAAGATAAGCTAATCAGTGACCGTGATTAGAATCAGAGTAATGATGCCTTTTCTGTCCCCACACAGAATTGTGCTCGTTTGTGACAAAAGCTTTTATATATACAAACTGCTGACCCGTCATGTGCCTCTGGTTCCACATCAGTGCACTGGTGTCCCACACTGATGGCTGTCATCCTGGAGAAAACACAATACACATTTGTTTTCATGAAAGAAAAGATGATTGATTGATTGATAGTTTAAGTTAAATCAGCTTATAAGTATAGTTTTGCATGTTTTTTTTTTTAATTTCTCCATTTTAATAATTTTATCATTTGGAGTAGTTGCAAACACGTACATCTCCCTGCTGTCATTTGATTTTCTGTTCCAGCAATACAAAGAACATTTTTATGTAATGTTTAGGAATGCTTAGTTGTGATAAGTTAGTTTAGATAAGTTAAGTTAAATTGATTAAACAAATTTGAAAACCTTTTTTTAAAAATTTGTTTATGGTCTGTATTGTCATTGTACCACGAGGATACAATGAAACTGAGCCTCTGCTTTTAACCCATCACCAAGGGTGTTTGACAACCATAGAGTGATGACTGTACATTAAATATTAGAATGTGTATAAGAACTGGACAGAGTAATCTGTGTTCCCTGGAAAGCAACAAATACAAAAAAAACCAGACTATTTTTGTCTTTTGTAGATGTTCTCCCGACAGTCCTCTCAACTCAGTTCTCGCAGAAACTAAAAGTGTAGTCGATGTTTTTTTGTTTTGTTTTGTTTGTTTTTTGTTTTTTTCTACTGATCAGGAACTTCATGATCTGACTAAGATCATTTGTCAGGGTCAGGTTCGTGAAGGTGTCACCTACCACAGTTCAACTACCTGAGCAGACCCACAGCCACTTCAGGAACCAGCAACGATGCAGCTTCGGCATTTGTACAACTTGGGGTCGTGATTGCGGATGTGATTCCTTACATTCCTTAGTCGAAAGAACGTCTTGCTGCAGAGCTGGAGGGACAGAAGAAATGAGGACCACAAAATCATGCAGATCATGAAGCCATTATTTTGACACCACAATCATCAGCTCATTTTGATATGACACCGAATGGATCCAAATGTTTGCATGTTTTTTGTGATACAAAAATATTGACAGGTTTTCATACATGTATATATGAATAAATATATAATCTGAGGAAAATCTTCTTACCGGGCAGGGCCAGTGCTTGCCGTTAACGTGCCTGAGACGATGCATGATTAAAGCGTCGCAGTCTTTATAGACATCCGGACACTGTAGACAGGCGTGAGCCGCCTTTGGAGCAGTGGGCGCCTGACTACGAGGACCCCGGAGCTGTTTTAGCCGAGCTCTTCGTACAGCATCAAGCATGACACAGTTCCTGCCGCTTACAGCCTGAACTTTACCTTTTTGCTAGAGAGAAAAATGAAAGAAAGAATAAAATGGTTATTCAAATTTGGTTGTTTTTCTAAATAGAGAAAAACATGTCCTGATATGAGTTGTTTTTCTAAATAGAGAAAAACATGATGTCCTGATATTGTGGCGCTCAAATCCCAATTGTATTTTTAACTCTCATTCTCCGATAGTATGAAGTAATACACCTACAGCTGGAAACAACCTGTCCACGACCTACGTTACCTTTGGTATGACCTGTGTGACCTGTGTAGCAGCAGACCCGGCCATCGTGTTGTTTCGTGGACGTCCTCTTGGTCTCTGATACCTGTTATGGCTCACTTTCCTCTCCTTCCTCTCCTTCTTCACCACAGGCAGGGTGGGTGGCCCTCTGTTCCTCAGCGCCCTGTGAGGAGGTTCTTCAGATCCAAATCTCTTCCCGACTTGTGACACCGAGCGCGTTAGGCAGATATCCACACTCTCCTCCTCCTTCTTTATGGCTGCCATGGGGCCCCCTGCTGACCGACAGAAACTGAACAGAAAGCCAGAGTCCAGTAACTTGATGGGGGGTTTGCTCTGGCGTTTGCCCAGGTCTGGTGAAGGAGGATCGGGGAATGGTCCGCCAACTGGCACTGGGTCTGCTGGCTCCTCTTTAATGACTTTATACAGTGGATGGCTGTAAATGGAAGGTGGAGGTCCGTGCTCTGAAAACTGGGGCCCACTTGATTCACTATTATCTTTAAATCCTAGCCGGGCGTCCACGACCCCTTTCAGCCTTTGGCTCTCTACTTTCCTCCCCTCTTCTCTGGACTTGCACTTGATTTCCTCGGCCTGTTTTGCAGAGGCTTGTTTAGGCTTTGGTTTTGATGCTGGTCGGCCACTGTTGTAGCGCACAGTTTTAACCTCTGCGTCTCTGCCCTTTTTTCTGGCTTGTACTCCATGTGGAGGTGGAGATCTACAGGAGGTGTTTCCACACAGACTGTCTGATGAAAAACCTGAGATAGAGTGTTCGACTGGTTCTGATTTGATCCTGACAGTGTTTCTTACGGGAGGCTTGTTAGTATTACGCCGCCGAGGCTGATGGGAGAACAGAAGGGAACGGTCTTCCATTCTCACTGACCTTCGGAGTTGTCTTGCTCCAAAGGGAGACCTGGCTCCAGGCTGGAAAAGGTCTGGTAACACACCTTTGCTTCTCATGCTCCTGTCTGTTGGAGGAACACGCAAGGCAGCTTTGGGCCTCTTGGCTGTAACCTTCTCTGTCCCAACCTTGACCACGGGCTTCATTTTCCCCGCTGTGTACAGAAGGCGAGTATTGGCCGGGTTACAAAGCGGGAGTGACAGTGTCATATCTCCGTAGGGTAGAGGCGAGGCGTTGCTTTGTGGTTTCCTTCGTTTCGTCAGTGAATAGTTGTTCACCTTCAGCTTCCTCAGTCTTTTCTTTTGTCTCCAGCCAATGAGATCTTCAGGTCTTGGTAGGAGAGCGGTCCTCTGAAGCCCCAGAACATTCATTAACTTGTACTTCTCCTGCGCCCTTGCGTAATCTTCCTCATCTTCTCCAACATCCTCAACTTCCTGTTTTATTCTCACTGGGCTGCATGCTGTGTTCTGCCTGGATCTGGAGGAGCGCGCATGTAGAGCAACAGGGCGCGTTTTTTTGATTGGTCGTTTGCTCTCCGACATAGGCAGCAGTCTCTGAACCTCTTTGGCAGCCCCTGGACTGGAGCGTAGGAGACGCGTGTTTGATGGGGATATGGGAGAGTATTTCTGTGGCTGAAGGCTGGCTACGGTGTGTCGAGGTGTCACAGGTTTTTTTGTGGAGGGGGATTTAAAGTCCATGAGCCTTATTCTATGTGATGGACTCATAGGGAGGCCGTTATGACTTTGTACTTTTCTGCGCAGGTTACGCCTCGGACTCCCTTCCAGAGACTCCGCTGATACATCTAGTAACAGATTGAATCCATCTGGAATTACATCTTCATCTGAAACTCTCTTCTTTTTGCTTTCCTTCTGCTGATGTAGATGATCACGACAGGCACCGGCACAGGCCAGGTTAAAGCCTTTCCCTGTATGTTGCACTTCCTCTTTCATGAGGGCAGAGCAGGCCTCTACTGCGGGCCACATGCCCAGGTGGCGAGCCATAGTGATGACTTCTGGTAGGTCCTCCCAGCGAACACACAGAGTGGAAGAGTAGGAGAAATCCAGCAGAGACAGAAGGTTGTCTTCACTGAAACCTGGGAGAGAAGAGAAGATCTCAATGGAGACTTAGATAAACAGTGACATTATCACAGATATTAACGACAGTTTTTAATGAAGACAAGTCAACAATAAGGCCGTTAGGACATAATTAAACGGACAAAAACTATCAAAATACATCCGGACCTAAACAGAGCTCAGTGTTTTATCAGTTGGGTCTCCAACTGTTCGTCCTTACCAGTGAGATCTACGTCAGCTTTCATGCTCGAGTCCATCTCCATAAAGATTTCCTGGAAGTGATCACTGACGGCTGCCAGAACAGCTTTGTGGGCCGAGAACGACCGGCCGTTCGTTCGCAGGATGATGTCACAGAACAGCCCCGCCTCTCGCTGATTATTCAACTTGTCTAGAATGTCCGTGCTGTGTGAAGCCATTGTCTTTGAGACACATCCTCTGCCACTTGACTCCTGAGGGGATCAAAGAGGAGGAATACAGTGTGACGCAAAACACTTGGAAGTGCGAGGTGAAGTGAGAAGTAAGGTGAGAAAGTAGGAATCTAAAATGTGAGAAGTGTAAAAAATAGACAGTGATAAAAAGTTCTATCTTAATTGGTCATACAACACTCATTACCTTGTTTTTCTTGGCTGTGTGGCTCTGGCACTGTTGACAGCTCAGGACAAAATTTCTGATCTGGAAGTACATCCCTGTCGGGGAAAGAGAAATTTTAATTTACCAGAAGGTGGGTTTTTAAAAAATAAAATGGTGCTCTAAATATTTTCAACATATATAGTCATTGTTCGGGGTCATTAGTTATTGCCAGTATTAGAAAAAGTTAATTTGATGAAACAGACAGTATGGGAATACTGCATGCTCGTTTTACAAATGTTTGCAATATCTTTTTTTTTTTTTTTACAAAAGATACTGTGCATGTTGAACCGTACAGGAAGCTACACATGCTGGAGTCCAGCACTTTGTCTAGCTCAAGTAGCAAGAGGCTACTGCAGAAAAAACATTCAGAGTTAAGACAGTAGGAAACCTGGCTGCAGTTGCAGTTGATCAGGTTCGTCCAGACTTCAAACTTAATGAAGTAGAGCCACATATCTTACATTTTTACTAGGACAGTGGTCTGCAACCTGTGGCTTCAGAGACAGGGAGCAAATTAAACCTGACAAGAAAAATCATCACTGATCTATTATACTGGTACTGGATAGACAACAGATATGAAGGGGTTGTCATTTTATACAATATCAAGGTTAAACAAATTGTCACACTAACTGTTGCTACAAAAAATAAAATATCATAATATTACTGTCCTCTTATGTCAAGATCAAGAACGAGTAACGTTGACTCCAGGTCTAAACTGGTACAACAGTACCAGCTTCTTTATTGTACTAAATTACAAATATGCAGTATTACTAGTACTTAAAACTTCATACACTGTACTAGTGCCTTCATTTAAATGGTCAAAAATGTTCTAGCACTTTCAGGAAATAGTATTTGCTGGTAAAACAATATAAAAACATTTTTAGGTTGTACGCAGCAAGAATAAGACAATGATTTTTACTGTAAATCAGGCAACTGTGTGTTGAAATATACCAGTCTATGTTGCATAACATATGTAATATTATTTTGATTTTGATTATGTACAAATTGTGATTATGTAAGAATTATCACCAAATATTCTTAGCTTTTTTGTTCTTATAGCCGCAGCTCACGTGTCTGACAAAGTGATTAAAGCTGACAGATAACAACACGGAGTAAACCAGCTTCTTTCTCTTCTTCTACTGGTGAATGATAATGCGTGATGATGCTCTGTGTGTTGTCAGACAACAAAGCTAATTCTAAGGTAACATTATTAGCCATTGTGTTTTGATCTTACACTGATTTAATCAACAGTGACCAATGGCTGAACTGTGCCTACATTTATAAACAAAAAAAGTAATCAACTTTGTTAGGGTGAGGACAGGACCAATGCTATCAGGTTTGAAACTGGGATTACTGTGACTGTGATGTCCATACCTTCCCACCAGTAGTTTTCAGCCACACTTTTGTAGGTCTCCTCCAGGGAGAGGTGCTGCTGACCAGGTCGACGACAGTGAAATGTGGAGACAGCCTCGTGTCTCCGATCCTCCTCCAGAACTTCACGGTAGTTGATGAAGCCCTTCTCTAGCTTCTTGCGGTAGAGAAGTCCACCTATCACCTCAAAGTTGGGCGACAAGTGTCCACACCCTTTCGAGTCCCCAGCTGTTTCCACACGACCAGATCTTTCCCTGTGTCCATCCGACCACGATTTACACGAACAAAACGTCAAGGCGTTTACGCAGCGGGTTTTAGGGGGACAACTGACGGACATTTCTGCCATTGTTTCGTGTGAAAATCTAACTTCTTGGAAGTGTTAACTCACTTGAGTGGAACGCGTGCGTCACGGTAGGGAGCTGAACTTTTGTCCACGGTCCCCAGGCAGAGTCCACGTGGATGTGATGACAGCAGATAACAGAACACCCCAACTATCACCCCACTAAGAGCCCGACTTCGACTCCTGTCTTTATGTCAATATTATCCTGAAGATTTTCCTTAAATAAGTTAGTTTTCCAGCATCTATGAGGATGTAGATCAGCAGCATTTCTCTGAAAGAATCCAACCATTAACGCCCACTGTTAGTGTCCACTTCTCGATAATCTTACATCACAATATATATATATTATTTACTGTAGGTTAACACGCTCCGTGAATCATACCACAGTGAACTACGACTACTTCGAACGCAAGGCAGCATCAGCCTAAGATACTTGAATGTCCATCCAACAGTGTTCAGCACAATCAAGCCTCAATAAACGCGCCAACAGCTTAGAGCCAAGTGATGTAAAGTCACCAGTTTCACCACCGAGCCTTCCTCATCAGCAGCCCGTCTTCCATCCACACTTCAGGGGCTCGGGAGTGGCCTCCTCCTCCCTTCTCCTCCTCCTTCTAGGTGGCTGCTGGATGGCGGCGGGCAGCCTCACCTCTGGCGTTAACTTGAGATTTCTTTTCGACAACTCGCGTTGGAAGCTACATGATGACGCAGCTCTCGGCTCAGCATCGCCACTCCGACGACCTAAAAGCGAGGTTTCCTCCGCGGTCAGTCCCCATATGTTGTACAAAATCGCCAGTTGGCCCTCACTTACAGCAACCGAACAGGCTCCTCTTACAAACCCGACATAGTTACACCCCGGTCCAGTTACCGTAAACTCTGCCTGGTGATCGAACAGACCGGATTTCCAAACTCGTAACCTTCTGTTTGTTGCTAATCGGTTGCCTAACCGAGTCAGCTCCTCCCCGCCTTCACACAAAAGCCATTAGTTAGTGCTTTAAAGACCTTCGGTGAGACCAGATATGATTGGCTTACGCTTCTATCACTCATTCGGCTGCGAGCATCCTCTCACTGTCATGGTAGGTTGTTCGCTCACTGTAATAATGTTTGCCTTTAGTTGCTGCACAGTGAAGTTAAATATGATCCACCCAGTGGACTGTGTCTCCGTGTTCTCACTCAGCAGATAACAGCGAAAAATAACAAAATTAGACAACGTTTGACCGTAAAAATAGGAATCACAGCAGCTAAAAAACATGTCAATCACAAATATTGATATTCTATTTGTGTTTGAACCCAACAGCTAGACAAGAAAAGATGACGTTTAATCAGAATGAACCAGGTTATTGCGTTTAAGAAATTACTGCCATGGTCCCCTGAATGTCAGCCACTAATGAAGCAAAGCAGTATTATTACAATAAAATAGCTTTTATGCTAAAGAGTATGTGAATGCTTATGTATTTAAATGTAAAATATGAATAATAGTTCAGTGTTATTCTCATGAAAATAGAGCAGATGACATTTTCAAGTTAATTAATAGAGAATGGAGTATACCTTTTTTTTGTAGTGATCCGATGTTGCATCATCTTGTTTTAATATATTATCTCAAAGAGGGGTACCATAGAGTTAACAGAGATGGCTTGTGGAGAATGTTGAGTCTGACTCATTTTGATTTACTAAAAATGTGACCCATGAACCTCACTATTTCTACAAACTGTTCACAAAATGCCTGCACACGCAGTTTTTTATTGCTGTGTACTCAGGAGCAATAATCTGCTTCTGAAGGAGCAGGACAAGAACTCATCTTTATTCATACCGTGTGCAGCAATTAAATAATAACCATTACTTCTAATTTACACTTCAATATTTATAATTGAACTTTAGCACTGGTATTGTTGTTGTGTTACAGGATTAGTGTTACTTTGGTTCATGTTTTCAATTCTAACACCTCTCTTTATTTACTTTTATTAGTTTGTACATTTGCAACACTGTTGGTGTCTTATGGTCTTCTACTTCCAGCTGCAAAACAAAACTTTAAAAACTATGAATATGGATGAAGGAATCTAAAACTGCAAATGTTCACAGGTTGCAGGTTATTTATTCATATATTTTACTTTTATCCTGATGGTCCACATAATGTTACGTCACTGAATGTTTTGGTTGTGTTACCCAGATACAAACACCACAATGGTGATGTTTAACTTTAAAACAAAAATCTCCACAAATTATATTTTCAAATGTAACACCAAGTAGCGTCCATACCTAATCATGAGTCAGAATCAATAACATTAAATGACAAAGTCCAAAGACCTTGAAAATGTCCTCCTGTTTGTTCTGCCCCACCTGTCATGTCGCCGTTCCCAGTGCAGCCCACCCCACACTTTGAGAAACGCTGCCCTAATTGAAATTAAACATAGGAGAACATAAGGCTATAGCCTCCAATCTCAGCATTATATAATATAATTACATAATATATAATTTAACATAAAAAATACATTAAAAGATTGGTTACCATATGAATAGACGTAATAACGTAATCATTTTTGTTGTCGTGTTCATAAAACCAAGTTTAACTATTTGTTTAACTTCAGCAGCTGTGCAGTGTACTGGCTTTAATAAAAATGTGGGAAAAAAAAAAATTTCCACAAAATTCAAAGCCAGAGAAAATTCTGTGATGTGTGGTAAAATGTTATATATATAGTGCTTTTAGACTAAGACTTAAGACTGCAGGCAGACCAGCACTCTGTACCTATGAAGTTGCATTTTTGTTATTTTAATAGAACTAAGGCCAACTGTTCTACTGAAAAAGGACATTCTCTTGGTAACCTTATTTCAATTCTGTCTGATTTTCTTCTTGGGCATGAGGCATATTTTCATTATCTCATCTAAGACAATTTCTGAGATGTTCTAACTTGTCTGGAAAAAGGGTTTGTAAATGTTGTAGGGAACATACTGCACTAATGGGAACACTGATTTCCTTTTACAGGGTATTCATTTGAACTTCATTTAGTAAACATAATATCACAATAATGCAGCAGAAACATTAGTGTAGATGTACAGTAATGAAACAACCTTTATTTTACATTAAAAAAAAGAAAAGTTCATTTATATGCTTAGAAGAGTTTGGATTTTTTTTACAATGTGGATTCAAATTCTATCACCAACCACAAGCTCATATTTCAAAGAATGTGTTTTTTCTTTTTCAGGATTAGGCTTCCATTTTAAATGGTATTTTAAATGGTTCTTGTTACAATTTTCACTTCTACAAGGACAATAAACCTAAATGTGGAATTCAAAACAAATCCCTTTAAAATTTGTGAGGAGGGCCTTTAGAGAACGTATAAAACATCCCAAAAACAACAAAGTGAAGGACAGCTACTGCAGGGCTGTGCGTTTCAAAACACTACATTATGCAAGATCAAGTACAGACATATCAAACCCAGACAATGCTGCTGCACTGTGGGATTAGAACCACAGGGAGGTGCCGTGTTTGCCGTTAACTCAGCCGGATGTACTGTTTTGAAGTCCCATCCAGCAGCACACTGTTCTCAGTCCACACTAGGCCTCTGTGTCTGTGGACTTGGTGGGAGGATCACTGGTTTTGGGCCTTTTGGACTCTGGGGGCTGGCAGACTGGATCAGTGGGAGGAGAAGGACGTTCTGCAGAGATAAAAGTGAAGATGTTTAGTAACTGGAAGGTCAGAAGTATGACAAAGAAGTCAAATGCTTGGAGAATATATATACATACATACATACATAAATACACATAAATACAATATATATACAGTATATATACACAAATATATAACTTGGTCAACACTTGGCTCTGGTTTAAGGATGGTTGACTTTATTGAAGAGATCCATTGTTAAGGAAGTGCAACAATTATTAACATCATGGGGCATTGGTTTTTAAAAAGCGCACTACATCATTAGAAAGGAGAAAAAAAATGGTACGTCTTAAAATCTTATATTATTTTTAACAAACAACAACAGCCAGAGATGCTGCCCACACTAACCATGTTTTGCCTTCTCAGTGGAGGAGGGAGTGTTGAAGAGTGAGCAAACACCCGCAGATCGAGGGGCGATGGGAGTCAAAGACACTCTCCTGAAAAAAAACAAAACAAAACACAGAAGTGAGAAGCTTTAATATAAGATCAAAAGAGTGACAATAATTGAAATGTTTGCGATTCAAACTGCAAACAAATACAATTTTATGATTTTCTTTATGATTCTGTGAATGTCATCGCTTTGCAAGATTCTAGAACATTTATTTTTAATCTTGTGTATATTTTTTTTAATTAAAATTCATTCAGGTTCACCTTGGCGCCGGCCCCTTCGGTGTGGTTCTGCCCTTCGGTGTAGCAGGCCCTGGAGAATTTGCACTGTTCAGGACTTTAGGAGTAGTGGGAGTTAGGGGAGGGATGCACAGCTGTGTTTTGGAGGAGCTGTTGGGAGTGAGAGGAGCTTTGGGTGCTGGAGGAGTTGACGGAGCACTTGTGTTCCCAGATACTGAGGTCTGTGGTGATGAAGTAGCTGTGTTTTTAGGGCTGGATGTCTTTCCCCAACCCTCCAAAGTGTTGAGGGTGATTCTTCTGGGCTGGGGTTTAGACTTGAGGTTGGGCGTGTTCTTCTTCTCCTCTGTGGTGGTGACAGAGGGAGTGTCTTTATTAAGGTTGGCTTGGGTGGTTGGCGCTGGAGTGGCGCTCGTAGGCTGGGATCCAGGGGAGGAGGTCTTGCCTATGGAGGACTTCTTGCCCTTTTTGTCAACACCACTGTTGGGCACAAACATCTCCAGTGTGGGGGGCTCCTTCAGAGGAGTGCCAAGCTCCCCTGGAGAAAAGGACAGGAAGGAGCAGTAGCCGTCTGTGGAGGACACGGCCAAGAAGGAACCATCGCCAGACCTCAACAGGACAAACAAAAACACGTGGAACGATAAAAGATTGCCCTTTCATTTGTGTGATAATCAATCACTGAAATGATCAGTAACATTTACAGCTCCCACCATCTATCTATCTATTTATAATGTCTGTGACAATCAACATGAGAGACAGTCCTGTTGGACGTCAACGTACCACGTGAGGTCACTCAGTGTATGGTAGTGGATGTTGGACACCAGGCCAAAAGGTATGCTCTGCTGAGTGTCGTACAGAAATATGGCGTCTTCCGATGCCACGGCAAACACCATGCGGTAGGGCAACTGGAACAAGTTGGGAAGAGCCTGGACTGAACCATCTAAGTCAAACAGAAATGGATGGAGATTTAGGACTAATACTTAGAGACACATGTTGGGGAGTCCTTTCTGAGATATTTCTTGTCCAATAAAATGTACTTGCCTTCTCCTTTCTTAGTTCTCAGTTCGAAGTATACCGGACAACAACGCACAGCCAGAGTAGCCTTAGATGGACAGGGCAGGTGAGCGATGGGCCTGAAGGACAAGGACATGAGACAGGACAGAGATTTGCACAAGGACAATAAACACTAACAAAGACAAAAACAATATTTTAAGTCTGTGCAGTGAAGCGTCACCTCTTCAGGCTCTTTCGGGAAAAGATGTATGTGGTGTTGATGATATTTTCTCCGATCTCCACACATCCAGCTGGTTCAAAGAGTGAACAGCAGAAGACAATTGATGAATAAACAGTGTGTCTTACCAAAAAACGTTCAACAAGCAGATAAAACAAAATTTTCAACAATACCTGGGGCGAGGAGAAAAGAGCCGTCAGGTGTGAATGAAAGACGCCTGAAAAAAGACCTCATGCTGTCGTCGTGGAAAATTCTGTACTGCTTGACCTACAGAGAAACAAAGTAGTGGGAAGCACCAACATCATCATGTGTAGAAACAACAAATCCAAAAGGACATGTTTAAGGTGAGAATAGAAAAAAAAAACACCATTTCTAATAAGGAATATGGTTTAATGGATGAAAAGCTTTGATATTTTAAGTCCTTAAAGAAGTAGATTTTACAGACCTCTCCCTCTGCAGGTTGCCCAGAGCTCATTTTACTGATACAGAAAGCTTTCTTCTTTGTATGGGTGCTGTATACACGCATCGCCCTGATGTAAAGAAAAAACAAACAAAAATATAAAAAAACACCCCTGGCTTAAGCTTTAAGAAACTCCACAATCAGTCGTAATACAAATTGGAAAATGTAGAAATAATTAAATGAACCCTAAAAACAAATGCAATCTCTGCACCTGTCACAGCTGAGAGTGGCAACATACTGCCCCAAGGGATCCCAGGTCACACCCTGGACGTAGCTCTTATGATCATTTAAAATGCACAGCTTCTGTCCTGTAAAACACAAAGAGAATTCACTCTTAACTTACCCAAAGCGGCAGGAATCAATCAAGTACATGAAATACAGGTCAATTATGTAAAAGACTATAACAGTGAGCAAACCTTTGTTAATGTCCCACATAATGGCAGTGTTGTCCACAGACCCCGAGACCATAAAGTTACCGTCCCGTGTCCAGCTGACATCATAGACATCCTCAATGTGTCCTCTAAACATAGAAAAAACAAACAAAACAAAGGATATTATTGTTGCTACAAAATAAAATCGAGAGGAGTAACGGCTAAATTAAAAAACTTATTTTCAGACGGCATTTCAATCTTAAGTCAATCCTTAAGAAATGTCTGTTTGCACCTTAGTGTCTTCACCACAGACCAGCTCTCCTTGTTGAGCTGAGCGTCTTCATCATCCTGAAACATAGGGGCCTGTTCAGGCTCCTTAGAGTCATTGAGTTTCCACAGAAGAATCGCTGCATCTAAATTAAAAAAACATTTATTACTTTGACTGTGGTTTTCAAAAATACTGTAAAAAATATTTTAAACTAATGATAAGTATATACCATCTCCTCCAGAGGCAAGAAACTCTCCATTAGGGCTAAAGCGAACAACATTGACAGCCTTGGTGTGTCTGGCCAGGTTTGAGAGAAAATCCACTGCTGCTTTTCCATCAGAGCCCATGCCTACACGCCACAGCTGCATTTAAAACAACAATAAGGTTTTATTAGATTTTATGTGTGCTTTCTGTTGGTCTTAAATCATATTCTGTATAATTAACTTCACACCACACCATGTATAGTACACATTCCAGTTAAATGTGCATTGGAAATGTACAATTCCAGTGTTCCAGTTAAATGTGCATTGGAAATGTAAAATTCCAGTGTATTATTATTATTATTATTACTAGTTCTAAACCCTTTTACTTTTTAAAATTGAAAGCATAATAAAGGGAAGCCATATACTGTGTATTCTCTACATTTCGTTGACATACTTCTTTCAGTCGTATGATTGACATACAGGTTTGACATCATTGTCCCTCCACATGTATTGCTAGGACTTGTTTTTTTCCATCACTCACTCTGACTGTTGTGTCCACTCCAGCTGTGGCCAGTCGATGATAGCGTCCATCGGAGCTGTGCTGGAAATCCAGACTGTAGACCGGCTCTTTGTTGTGCCACGCAATCTCACACGTTACCACCTTCATTATTTAATACAGCCTTTGGAAGGACAAAGAAAAATGCACGTCAGTGTGATATTCTGTTTGATTTCAGACTTACTAACCCTGACTGCACGAGAGTTTAGTTTGTTTTCGTTTAACTCTGTGGTTCAGAATAAAGTTACGAGGAGCTAGGAGAGTTAGCGACAAACTAGCAGAATTTCAATAGTATGAGGATAACGATAAGCACAGAAACGAATGCTAATGCACGACCACACGTCACAATCCGCAGACTGATATGTTACGTTGCAAATACGCTCAGGGCTTTTTTCTTGGTTAGAAATTGTCTTATAAATATAACATATAACGTCTTCTTTTACCTCTGATGTTCAGCCGAAGATTTCAGTGATTTCCCGCGTACGTTTCGTTCAAAACTTCCGGTAAGCAGGTCAAACGTGATTGGATGAGGATCCGGAAAAGTTCTGCAAAAGCGGGGTTCGGTTTCTTTTCTTCTACGTCTGCTCTGGGTGAACAAACGAAGTGGTTTTATAGTACCGCCATCTACTGTTATCTCATGTTACTGAAATTATTTTCCATAAATATTTTTTTACATTTTTAATGAAGGGAACAGCCAAAACACAGGACAATAAGATAATTAATAGTAAATATGTGAAACAGAATTATTCAGTTACATTTTTACATACAAACCTATCTATTTCAGTCAGCTGCAGATGATTCTACTAATAAGACATTAAAATAACGGAATCATTTTACCTTATAACGTGGGAATGTGAAATCCGAATGGTAAATAAAAATGTGTCAGTAAAGACATCCTGTGAACTGTTTTTACCACATGTGCAGTTACACATGGGGAGTGAGGTAACCAGAATGATTGAACATCTGGGAAAAACACCAAAGACTGATGAATAGTTGTTGTCTGTTTACATAGAGTAGTGAAACAACCGCAATTTGTGTTAGACTTATTGAGTCATGATTTTGAAGCTACTGAATCAATGTTTTTAAAAGAGAATATACTGACCGATCCCCCCAAAAAAGGCACATTTGACGAAATTCAACCAATAAAACACTTGAACGTACTCCCATTGTGGACCAGCCTCTTATTATCATTTACACATTATCAATAGGTTAAAAAGCACTGTGACAACATTTACTGTTATATCAGATAAAGAAGGGTCACACTTCTACCTCATACTTGTTATTGGTTTTGGGCTCAACAGCTCACACTGCACGAGGAGGGTGACCTGTGACATATGGACCTGTGAACCTGATGTTTTCTACTTCTTCAGCAACTTAGGGTTTGGAGAAAAATCTTATTTTTCCTTTTAAGATTCTGAGACACTGAGTTAAATAACAAATAGTAAATAACAAGTCTCTATTTATAAAGTTTTTCCTGCTGTGGTGCCAATGTGAAGCGCTTTTCCAACAGAGACGTTCATAAAGTTTCATAGAGTATCTAAAACACTTTTTTTTGTTTAAGTCTAAGTCTAAATCAGCTTTCATCAGTTTTTTAAATTTAAATGATTTATGTTTTGTGCCACCTGTGGGTTGATGTACCAACATAACTTTTCATATTTATTTTTAAGGACCAACATAACTTTTCATATTTAGTTTGCAAACACTGTAAGAAAAAATATGTATAAAGAAAAATAATTTGGGTTTTAGGATCATAATGCCCATATAAACCCTAGTCTTTTCTTTGCGCCCTGGATATCGCTGACATCATGGAGGGTCTTGATGTTTTGGGTGTGAGTGGACACATATGTGGGCATCTGAGCACCACTGCAGTCTTGAACGAGGTAGCTGGGTCTGAGTCCACCAAAGACAGGACCGTGTCCTCCTCCGATCCCCTCCCTGGCGGCCTTACACAGAGGGATGATGTTCCTCTGAACCTCTGCCGCAGCACTGATAACATGTCGCGAATATTGTTGAAAATGCTTTTCCTCTTCAGCCACGAGGTCTCGGTTCTTCACCTCGAAGCCAAGGTCCTCCTTCTTCAGCTGCTGTTGCCTGGCAATCCTTGCAGCCTGTGGATGAGAAAGTGGGAAATAACTGTTGAGACTGTTGCTCAGATTACATAACACCACTTCATCTGATGTGTTATGACGTTACCATTTGTGTAGCATTGAAATCTTGTAGTTTTCTGTGTTCCTCTCTGATCTTCTGAGATTTCAGTTTTTGTTTGTCAGAAAATATTCTGTCAGCCTCCTGTATGGCGTGGAGCATCTCTCTGGCGTTTTGTTGCATTTCTTTATCTCTTTGCTCTTTTTCTTGTCTCTGATGAAAAACAGTTTAAGATTAAAGAAGGAATTTACTGCGGCAGATATTTCATTTAAAAGCTTCTTACATCTTTAGTGACACTTTTGAAACACACAGATTTAACATAACTCCTAATGCTCCAAATCAAAACCAGTCACGTCCGTATATAAATATATTAAATACATATATAATTTTGTTTTTTTGCATATGAAATTTGAAGGCATTGAACATCACCATTATGGATAATAGTGGTGTTAGCATCACACTACTTTATATGCTGTTTTGAATCTGGTCAAGAATGAATGAATGAAATACTGTGTGTGTTAGATATGAGTCTAATTTTCCAACAGGAGCTTTAGGTTTCTTTAAGCAAATGAGAAAAAAAAAAAAAAATTACCATTTTAGAAGGGCAAAGACCTGAAGAACATTTGAAAGTTAACATAAGAAAGCCTTAGTTTTGGAATGTCCAGAAACCAGAGCGCTGACCTGAGGGCTGTGCACAGAAGACGGCCCAGTATTCTGACTAAAGATAGAAACTTTAGAAAATAAAAAAGACCAACTATTGTACAGTTGAATTAAATATAGAAAAAGTTCTGAAAGGAAAAAGCCAACTGTCATTTTTATAAATGTAAAAACCTGGTAGTTTGTATGAAAGTTGTTTCAAGTAAATGACATGGTTTTAGAGACAAAAGCATCAGCACTAATTTACCATCATCTCCCTGTGAGCAGTGATAGACTTCAGCATGCCCGCCCTCCGCTCCTCCTCCTCCCTCCACTGTCGTTGTCGTTTCGCCTCCTGTTCGGCGACAGCTTTAGCGATTCTCTGCTCCTCGCTGACAGTCTGCTCCTGCTGTGAGGCTGTTAGTCTGTCCATGATCCTCTCTCTGTGTCTCTGCAGCTCTCTGAACAACAACATGTTCCATGTGTCAGGGCAGGTGACGGCTTCAACAAGTTTAAGCTGCACTTAAAATCAGCATCAGTTTTACCTAATTATCTCGGCCTCTTTGTCTTTCCTCATTTTCATCATTTTTTGTTTCGTGGAGAGAAAAAGTTTCCTCTTTTCGTCTTCCTCCTCCTGCTTTTTGGCCTTTTCTGATTTGATCAGGTTTCTGTTGCTGATGTGTTCCTACAAAAGACAGTGTGGACACAAATATCACACACACCTGTGTGTCTCAGACTTGTGTGTCTCAAATATAGTCTTGGGAAATTGTTTTTTTTTATCTTTGCATTTAGTTACCATTCTATCTTTAAGTATTTTTGCAAAATATTTTATGTTATATATAATTTAAGACAGGAAGAAAGGAAGAAAAAGAAAACTTTCTGTTCAGAGCCTACCAGGTGAGCCTGCATCAGGTTCCTCTTCTGTTCTGTGAGTTTTTCCTCCTCCAGCTTTTGCTCCCACTGATACAGAGCTTGGAGATGTTGGATTTTCTCAGCATCATTTCTGGTCTCCATCTTTTGTTGCTCTCTGGTCAAGTCAATTTGTGTGATTCTAAAGGAAAAGAGCAGAGTTAACACTTTAGTTGGTCTACTGGCTGGTGACTGACCTGCAGTCTGTCCAGAGCAGGTTTGATGAGGTTAGACTCACTGTTTTTTCTGGGCCTCAGCAACAGCCTTCCTCTCACTTTTTTTCTCCAGTTTCTTCTCCTCATCTTTCCTCAGAGCTTCATCGTCTCTGGCCTTTGCTACAGTGATGTATTCTTTGTCCACATTCTTGGAGGAGCTCTTTATTCTTTCCTTCAGTTCAATCTGAGCCTCCCGCTCCTTTAGAACCTCTGTCAGCAGCAGTGCACTCTATAGAGAGAAACAGTATTTGTTACAAAAGTCGGGTCTAAAACAAGCAGCATTTGTGAAGCCTGGGAGTTCCTGACATGTAACCCTCTGACTCGGTCCGTTTGGTAATACAGCTGACTCTTGGCTTTTTCAATGACTTCCTTGCGTTTTTCCTCTTGATATTTGGCCTCTTCTATGTCAGTCTGTTTTCTTCTCTCCTCCTCGACCTGTTCTCGTATATTCTTGGCCTCCAGCTTCTTCTGCCTTTGACCCTTCGATCAAAAACAGTAAATCACACACACACTTATACATGTGTCTCAGTCCAATTAAACAAATCCTGTTTTTAGACTGTTGGAAAAAAACCACAGTGTCTGGAGGAAACCCAAACACACAAAGGGAAATGTACAAACTCCATACATGAAGACAACCAATTAGCATCAGGAATCAGAGAGTCTTCTCACTGAAAGGCACAGGCTCCAAAAGTGGGGTCTGCCCCCCACAGGATATTAGTTTTAATATTTTCTTTATTTGCACACAGTGGCACGGCAAAGGCGTTCACCACTCGTGCAGAACATAGTACAGTCTTACTGAGTAGATCACACATGGTAACTGCACTGTTCAGACAACTCACAGCGATGGTGTTGGACCACTTCTTCACCACTTCTTTTGACTGCCGGTGCAGCGCCTCCCTCTGCTTGGCTGCCTCTCTGATGCTCTCCTTGTCTTTATTAACCTTGTTCAGTTCATCCTGAATCCTCAGCCACTCAGCTCTTGGTAACACCTTGACCTGTAGGAGGTCAGGAGCCTGGAATAACTTGCTGGTTTCTTCTGCTGCAGGTGGAGGAAAATAGCAGCATATCCAGGGGCAGTGTTACTTTATGAGAACAATCCTGGGCCTAGTTGATGTAATAATCTGGGTGAATTAAAAGAAAGTGAGGCCCACTGTGTCTCGGGTTGGGGTAAAATGCAGAGAGTATGTAAAGTATGTGGTAAAAAATACCTTAAAGAAATTACCCTTTTAACTGTGCAGTATTTATTACTATTTTCAAAAAGCTCTGCTGTTCTTTCAAAAACAGCACAATATTGAGTTAAAGAAAGAAATATAATATAAATACATATATAATATATAATATATAAATATATAATATATATTATATTTCTCATTAAGCAGGAATCCTTCCTTGTCTTTTTGTGAAGAGCCAGAAAAATATAAAACCACAAATAAAAGTTTAGTTCTCACCACTTTTACTTGACCCGCTCCTCCGTCCATGGTGGATCAACATTGTCATTTCGATTTATTGAGTTATCGGGGGGTTTTTTTAATTAAAAAACTTTTGCTTAATCCTAGAAACAACAACACATAAAAACACACGACCCTGCGATTTTGTTGTGCAGTTTCTAAGCAACTGCAGGACCTTGATATGCAGCCGTTTTGATAAGTGCCACTAGATGGCGATGTATATAACTTCTGGCTTTAAATGACTGAGTGGGTCGCATTAATTGTACAGGTTTGTAGCTGGTCAAAGAGATTATACATTTATGTTTAGTTGATTATTATATGATACATTTGTATTTTCAGGGATAAAAACATTACTTAGGCTAATTTATTTACATATTTTAATCAGTTATTAAGCCAAACAAGTTATTTTTGTTTAACTTGTAGCTTGTTTGAGGTTTGTGTAATGTAACATTTTAGTTCGTTAAGTGCTATATAGCTATCGTGGTCAATCAGCTAGGTTGTATTTTGTTGTATTTCGAGCAATTTTAGCTTTTTTAAGCTAATGTTTTGCTATAGTTTGCTGATATAAAACCGTCACTCACCTTATACGTAACCTTACTAGCTAAGCATTGCTTTTTACTGAATCAACTGTATTTATTTATTTTACAAAGACGTTAAAAACGCGAACCCTTGACGTTTTTTGAGTTCCAGAGACATGACCTTATTGTGGCATAGCGATAGACTGGCTGTCATGTGCAGCTTATCAGCTCAGTAATGACAACCAACCCTTGAATCATTACTAAAAACTCACTTGACCTAAAATACATCAGTAAAATAAGATCAGTAAAATATTGTACCGGGAATTAAAGTGACATTAAACGGGCTTCTAATTTATTTAAGTAAATTAGATGGCTCACCATTTAAACAGGAAAGAAGAGGTAATGCTTTGCTTAGATTAATTAACAATTATTAAGTTAAACCAATAAGCAAATAGAAAGACATCGCGGTTTTCCTTTTCTTTTTCTTTTTCTTTTTCGTTTCTCTTCTTTTTCTTTTCTCATCTTTTCTAAACGCAGGAGATGACGTCACAGCACCAGGTTCAGAGGTATTGGACGTTCTCCCAGAAGGAGGCGGTCTTCGGAGCAGAGGTGGCCATTCAAAAACACCGCAGTGCAAGGAAAAAACCTCCCTCCATCAGTCTCAGCAAGGCATCAACCTCTGAACTCCACTTTCTGCCGCCGTGTTCTCAAACAGCCCAAAAATGGCCCCCATCTCCATCAAGACCGTGCTGATCAGTGAGAGCGTGGATCCTCGCTGCAGAGCTATCCTGGAGGAAAATGGCATCCGGGTCACAGAGAAGCAGAACATGAAGAAGGATGAACTGATTGCAGAGTTGAAGGTAAACGTATCATCTCTCTTTTCCTGTTGCGTCGCTTCTTTCTCCTGCACAAGTCCCCCCTTTTCTCTCTTGCGTAACATGCACTCATGGCTTGTAGTGAAAACTATTCATTCGCTGCCTGGATTCACCGCAGCAGCTCAAGTCCCGGGAATGGCAATTCAGGAGGAACAGGCCCTATTGCGCACTTTCTTTTCTTGCACTTGAAATCGGTGTGTGTTCTACTGTTAACTTGATTTTTTATTCATTTATGCTTCTTGTGTGTCTTTCACTTGCTGAGGTGAGAACGGTGACTTTCTGCTAAACCCCGCCCCTTTTCAAGCTGATGCAACTCATCCATGATTTTGCCTTTTCTCCCAACATCACATGCAGCAAACACACACACGTTGTATTTTAACACACACCAAAAATCCAAAACAATTGCAGAAATATGTTTGTCAAAAGGAATAGAAATAATTGAAATAATGTTTGAGGGAAGAACTCAAAAAGTTTTAGCTTTGAAGAGTTGTGGAGACTTCATGTTTGTGTTGGATCAGTATCATAATCCAAAACATGGCCTTGTTTTATTCTAGGACTACGATGGTCTTGTTGTCAGATCTGCCACCAAGGTGACAGCGGATGTCATCAATGCAGCAGATAATCTCAAAATCATTGGAAGAGCTGGAACAGGTGTGGACAATGTGGACGTGGATGCCGCCACCAAAAAGGGAATTATCGTGATGAAGTAGGTCACGTCCACATACTGTGTCTGATCTACAGTGTCAACCCTAAAAACTGTTCATTAACTGTCAACTGTTTCCTGCAGCACACCTAGTGGCAACACCATCAGTGCTGCGGAGCTAACATGTACCCTGATAATGAGCCTCTCAAGGTAAGTGAGGTTGATCCATTTACATGTTGTAGTCATAACTTTAAGATAAAAGTTTGACTAAAGAAAATTTTAACCAGGTTAACTTATGGTTTAGTGTAAAGATTCAAAAGTTAACAGAAAGGCCAACAAGCTAGTTAGCTTGTTGGTCCTTATAAAAGTAAGAAAAAAAAGTAGCGATAAAGTGACTGACACAACAAAAACAATGCCTACGGATTATAAAGAGCACACTGTATATAAAATGATTTAAAATTAGAAAATTCTAGACAAACACAAACACAAAAGAGCTCTTTGTTTCTCCTACACTGATGGTGGGCTGTAACGATTATTATTGAAAAATGTTGTAGTCCAGTGAATTCTGTTCAAACACCCCCTGCCCTGCTCCTCCCATTCCTCGGCCGTTCTTTGCACATGCCTGACAAAGTTGTCACAATCCATGAACATGTTTAATTAATGAATTATTTTTTTCAGAAATGTGCCTCAAGCTGCGATGTCAATGAAACAAGGGAACTGGGATCGTAAGAAGGTGAGCAGACATATTGATAAACAACTGCGTTCACAGAGCAAACCGTTCTGACCCTATTGTCCTCCCAACCAGCAGTAATGGGATGAGACATTCAGATCTGTACTTTTGTTCTGTGTGTGACTCCACAGTTCATGGGTGCAGAGCTGTACGGCAAAGTGCTGGGAATAGTGGGACTGGGGAGAATAGGAAAAGAAGTGGCCACAAGAATGCAGTCATTCGGCATGAGAGTGAGTAAAGAGGCTACAACGTGTCAACACTGTTACCTCACTGTTTAGCAAACATTTTGTTGAGATAAAAACTTTTTTTTTAATCAGACCATAGGTTATGATCCCATCACACCACCTCAGGTGTCAGCCAGCTGGGGTGTGGAGCAGATGTCATTGGAACAACTTTGGCCCCAGTGTGATTACATCACAGTACACACTCCCCTGATGCCCTCTACTGTGGGTGAGTGCTGTGCATGTGATAGACGCGGAGCTTCTCATGGTCTTTGACTTCACGTTGCTGTGGTGAAGAGTATTTCTGACATGTAGATTTTTTTTTTTGTTCTATGTTCCAGGTCTTCTCAATGATGAAAGTTTTGCTAAATGCAAGAGAGGAGTAAAGGTGGTAAACTGTGCACGTGGAGGCATCATTGATGAGGCGGCTCTGCTCAGAGCTCTGGAGTCTGGACAGTGTGGTGGAGCAGGTCTGGACGTCTTTGTCGAGGTACGACCACAGCATCTGACTGGAGTCTGCAGTGATGCCTGCATGTTTTCACAAACCAGAATTATTTGCACGTGTCAGTTTATATTTACAATCTGTATTTGTCTGAAGGAGCCTCCCAAAGACCGCTCACTGGTGGACCACCCAAATGTCATCAGTTGTCCTCATCTGGGAGCCAGTACCAAAGAGGCTCAGGCACGCTGTGGGGAGGACATTGCTGTGCAGATCGTGGACATGGTGAAGGGCAAGAACCTGGTTGGAGCAGTAAGTATTATAAAAGTATTTAGTGTAAAATGTCTTTCTTATCTGCAGCTAAGAAAAATAAAATATTTCTCGAAACAAATAATACAAGATGTCCTGAGATGCCCTTGTGATGATCCCATCTGTACACAATCATCTGTGAACAAACTGTAATTAAAAGACGCCACCTAATTTTTTTTTTTTTGTCACCAAGATCAGTCACAACCTCTGTGTCCAACTTCCTATTTTTCTACAGTATGTCTTCAGAAAAGAAAAATAAAGTATAATATAAAAGTATCTATAAAATAAACAAAGTAAATGTATAAAAATTATGAAGAAAGAAACTAATCTTACAGATTAATGCTCAGACACAGACGGCTGTGTATTACACCAGACAAATGTGATACACTGATCAGGTTTTGTTTTCACAATTCTATCATCAAATTTATTTCCAGGAATCAGGTGTGACATACTTACTGGCCTAACTATGGGAAAACTGGAATGTTCACTTCCAATGAGAGGTGTTGACTTACAAACCAATGATAGATTCTAAACACTACATTGTGGATAAAGTTGTCCGTGAAATCCCACGTAGTTCATTCTGATCACACACTTTGTTGTGTCCTGTAGGTGAACGCCCAGGTCCTGGCCAGCACCTTCTCCCAGGAGTCTCACCAACTCATCAAACTGGGAGAAGCCGTGGGAGCTGTGCTGCAGTCCTGCAGTACTTCTCATAAACCACTCAGCCAAGTCAATGTTATCTGTCAAGGTAAGAAAACTGGTGGAACCAGTCTATTTAAAGGGCCAGTGTGTGATTTTGTTTCATATACAGTCCTTGTCCTATTGTGTGTGGGGTACAGTACGCCTACTTTAAGTTCCAGTCATGAAAAACATGTAATACCACACATACAGTAGGTTCTACAATTTCAATTACTTAAAAGAACAATTTGGAAAAGTGTGGGTGTTTATGTTTACACTTACGTACTGTGAACTGGCCATCCTTAAAGAAGTGACCAGACTGAAGTGGTTTTCATATTCATATAGAGAGTTGGGGGGACTATAACTCAGACCCTAACTGTAAATGATGCGATGGTTCTTAATAACATGGTTGTGAGTTTAAATGCAAGAATGCAAACATTACATTAATGAATCCCTCTGTGTTTCAGGTGATTCCCTGAAGTCCTCTGTAGGGTACATGACGTCAGCAGTTCTGGTCGGACTGTTGGATCATGACTCTGGCTGCTCCCCGAACCTCATCAATGTGCTGAGTATGGCCAAGGATTCTGGAATCATGGTAGGACTGCACCGCCATCTGCAGGACAACACAGAGCAATACAGCAACACAGCTAAATTTCTCTTATGTGTGTGTGTGTTGTGTGATTGTGCAGATTAACCAAACGCACTGTGCCACTGACGGAGCCGCTAACGGTGCGTGTAAGGTGGAGATCATGGCCAATGGCTGCAGCTATGAAGCCACTGGTACAGTTCAAGGTGGCGTTCCTGTCCTGCTGGAGCTGAGTGGCAGTGTGTTCAGACAGCCGGTGGCTCTCAGTGGGAATCTGCTCTTCTTCAAGGCCTTGGCCAGTCCTCAACTGCTGTCTTCAGTGGCTGGTAAGACTCCAGCGGGATTTACAGACCTGAAATTACAGCTGTGCTTCTCTCTCTATCAAACTGATTATTGTTTTCTAGATCAGGTATTGTTTTGACAATGACATAATTTTGGAGCTGAGCGATAGTCTTCAAAAGCTAAATAACAGCCTTCCTTGAGGCTTTCTTTCACTGTGGATTCACAGCTCCTCTTCATTGTTCTCTGTGTAGGACTTCTGGCCACGGAGGGTGTGGAGATCGAGTCCTTCAGCGCTCCTTCTGACCACACTGGTGATCTGTGGTACTGCGTGGGGGTGTCCTCTCTACTGCGAGACCTCGGTGCCTTGAAGTCGTTGGTTCAGGAGGCTGCACAGGTCACACTGTAGAACCAGTGTGGCAGCAGACTTTGGCCAGTGGCGGGAGGATGTTCAGTATCTGAAAGATCCTCACAGGTTCAGGGTGGTAGGGTCTGGTAATCAGCTGTGTGTTTGTAGCTAACTACTTGTCTGGGAGTTGAACATGTGGAGTTGGACTCTTTGATAAGTTTCCACTCTTGTGATGGTTTACATGCACCCTGTTGAACTGGTAGTGAATGAAATGTTGTCCTTTTTATGTGACGGTGTTGAATAAAACATACCGACTGAAATGTTGGGTGAACATTTTCTTCTACACTGATTAAATAAAGAATGTGCTGTTGATATGGTGGAGGCCGATTTAAAACTCAGTTGTGTTCAAACTATATTATAGTATGCATAGAAATACTTTTTATAGATACAATAAATTAAGCAGGTGAGATGTCACATAAAATAATTTAACTTAAAAATTAAAAATGCTTTTGTATAGATATAGGTTTTATTGTAATTGATGAACTCTTAAAAATGCTTTTGTATAGATATAGGTAGATATATGTAACTGATTCCAGGGGTATAGTGGTATAAATTAGACCATAATAAATATGCAAGACACATGTTTGTCTACAGCAACTGTTGTTATAAACTATGCTTGAAATTAAAAAGTTTTCAAATTCATATTTCTCCGTGACAACAGCTGCATCTTCATAAGGCAGAACTGTGCACTTCTGCCTGTTATGGAATATAAAAAATGCTCTTAAGATTTTATAGCAGAACTGTAGACTGAATGACAGTGGCTGCTTTAGCTAGAGTAGATAAATGAACTGATATTATACCACTGGGAAATAGTCTAGTCGGCCAATAAATAGCACACAGTAAACACTGTCAGACACCACAGTGTTTTTGGCCATATATGGAATATATTTTAAAATTAAACAAAGTTGTTTTGGGGTTGTGACTAAATCATACCTTGAAGCTTCTTTAAAAAAATCTAAGTTAGTTAATAGAGACCTTGGTCTCTGTCCAGATTCTTTAGTTAAAGAGGGTGATTTCAAATACTTTCTGATGATCTATTATTTTTAATGAAATATAATAATTAAAGATAATTTCAATATAACTTTGTCTTTATTTACATTCATATCTTTTCACATTACACGTTTAAAAAAGTCAAAACCATTGGTAGTGCACAGATAAAAAGCTGACATTTTCTGTAATATATAATGTTTTCTTTTTTTTCAAAATACACATTAAAAAAATACAAACATAGTCTATTTTCCTGTTAATTTAAGTTTCGCTCTGGTCTATCGCGTCCGGACAATTTTTAAACCAAAACTATTCTCCAAGTGAAAAGAAAGAAAGTGGAAGTGTTCCCGTGGAGCAGCTGGACTAAGTACTGTGCAGAGTGTTGGTTAATCCATGTCAGGATTAGTCCAAGCCACTGGAAATGGGTTCAAAATGCCATGGCAACCACAAGGACCGAGGCAGAAACGCGAAGAAGGATAGAGCCGTGTACAGATTTGCATTCTGCACCTTTCTCCTCTCAACACTCCACAATGCGCCGTCCTTGAACGCATCACGGGTCCGTGGACGTAGGCAACGTCCTCGAAAGTAACGGTTCCTGGTGATTTAAGCCGAACCGCTGTTTATATGAAAGACCTGGCGGCGGAGAGGAGAGCATTACGGTGGGGGGGGGGGGGGGGGGGGGGGGGGGGGGGTGGGGGGGGGGGGGGGGGGGGGACGCTGCACACAAATACCAAAATAGGTTGTGAGCCGCCAGCGACCGTCCTGCAGGAGCTATATTGAGGGTCCTGTGCGCGTGTGTTTGTGTGTGTGTTTAAAGATGGACGAGGACAGAGGCGAGTGTCCTTGTGGAGCAGCAGCCCCGCTCCTCCATGGACCTAGAATTAAAGGTAAGACCTTCTCTGGTGTCTACTCTCACAAGTAAATACATGGAGATCTGCACTGCAGTCACATCGTGATCAATAATGAATGGGAAATGCTACACCGCCTATTAATTTTGGCCAGTCTTCACAGTGGGGGTGTGTTTGGATCACTGACATCAGGAGGAACCGCAGCAGATTGAACAGATGACCCTAGACATAGTTGTTTGTTTTATAATAATTTTTTAATAATAATAATCAAATATGGTATATATAGTGCATGTTTCTTGTTTGTTTGTAAACAAAGGACTGTGACGTAACAGTAGCCAAATGAAATGCAAATTTTATCGGACATCGAAAGGAAGTGACTCTGAATGTTGTACAGATTAGATCAGCTGTTTCTCTACTTTGACTTTAAGCCAAAGTAGACTGTTACCTTCAACCACCAACACTGGGAGGATGGTCCTGAACAAGTGCTGCATTAATGGTTTCCACTGCAAGAACCAATAACAGTTTCCTGACAACGAAATCACCAAATCAGCAACTGCTACGTTGCAGTTGAAATACATGAACAAAAGAGATAAAGAGGCAGAACACAGACAACAACCCTTCTGACGTGCTGTACTTTACCTTTACACTGAGGTACTGTTGTGGTGTTAATGCAGAATCTGCACCTTGATTTTGAACAATCTTTTTTTTGTAAGACTTTAAAGATCTGTAAAACGTTTGTGAGCACCTTGTGCTAATTTAAAATACTCCAGGATTAGAGAGCTCTAAACAGACAGAACTACTTGGACGTCTTGTCACATGCGAGTGTAAAACATTAAATGTCATTAATTGACTGTCCTTGCTCATGTGATGAGGGAAGATCACGAGAGAGAGAACTGCGCTGCAAAACACATTGTTTGTTATATCTAGATGAAGCAAAAAAAAAAAAAATACACAGTCACTGCAGGGTCGTTCTCCTGCGTGTGAAAAGAACCTTCTGGTAACAATTGTACTTGGAGGGAAAAAAATAGGACATCATGAGACATGCTAATGTAAAAGTACCAAAGGGAATTCTGTTGGATCGCTGACGTCTTTGTGTGTGTTTCTTCAGGCAACGTGATGTCACAGAGAAAAAATGATCTCTACACGTTTGACTTCTCTGACGGAGACCATCCAGCTCAGGTCCTGGATTCTCTCAGGCACTTCTACACCAACGGCCTGTTCACAGACGTTTCCCTCCAGTGTGCTGGTTCTGGACAGGTGTTTCACTGCCACAGGGTGCTGCTGTCGGCCCGCAGCTCTTACTTTAGAGTCATGTTCACAGCGGACATGAGGGAGAGGTCGAACAGCAGCATCACACTGATCGGAGTGGACGGTGAGGTTCTGGGAGCTCTGGTCAACTACGTGTACACGGCTCACATCTGCATCACTGAGAGCAACGTGCAGAGACTGCTGGAGGCCGCCGACCTCCTGCAGTTCTGTTCGGTCAAACGGGCCTGTGAGGAGTTCCTCATCCGGCTCCTGGATGTGGACAACTGCCTAGGCATGCACGCCTTTGCCCAGCTGCACATTTGTCCTGGACTGGAGCGGGAGGCGAGGAGAATGATTTTGAGCAGATTTAAAGAGCTCGTACAACAAGAAGAGTTTCTAGAGTTGGACCAAGACAGGATGAGACTGGTTCTGGTTTGCCAAAGCACGACTCTTCAGAAGGACGATGTTCTGATTGATGCCGTGGCCAAATGGGTGGCTCACGACTTCAAGAATCGTCTCCACCATGTTGTTGACATGCTGCATTCCGTTCACCTGGACTTGGATGAAACTTATTTCAAGGCTGCTTTAGAGGTGCACAAGCAAAGCTTCTGGAGGAGTGAGGTGAAATTCAAATCTGTGATAGCTAAGGCTCTAAGATCAGATAAGAAGGAGACTTTGTCTAGCAGAAAAACATCTTCCAGTATGTACATCATTGGTGGATACTACTGGCACCCTCTCTGTGACGTTCACATCTGGGATCCCACCAGCAACACCTGGGTGCAGGGCAAGTCCATGCCTGATCATACAAGAGAGAGTTACAGCATCACTGCACTTGGAGCAAATATATATGTAACTGGAGGTTACAGAACCAACACGGTGGAGGCCCTGGACGATGTTTGGATTTATAACTGTGACTATGACGAATGGACCGAGGGCTGCCCCATGATTACAGCCAGGTACTACCATTGCTCTGTGGCTCTGCACGGCTGTATTTATGCCATCGGAGGCTACAGAGGAGGAGCTCCAGAGCGAGACGCTGAGTTTTATGACCCGTTGAAGAAGAAATGGTTTCCTGTGGCCAAGATGATTCAAGGTGGGTGAAATGACAGAGGGATAAAAAGGGATGAAATGACATGAGATCCAATGGCAGAGCGAGAGATGTTCTCAGATGTTCTTGGTCCATCCTGTAATTATAGATGCTCATGTTTTAGTTTTGTTTGGTTGAACTGCATAACTGATTGTTGTTGTACAAAGTCATGCGAAATATTTAGTCTCAGTTTCCTGATCGCTACTGGTAAAGTTTGAGCTACATGACAGAAACGTCATAAATACATAAACCTTTAAGGTTGTTTTTGTAAAGTGTGGAATTAATTTTTGTTTCTTTATGGAAATAAGGTAAACTAGTAATTTAAAGTAAAGCCTAAAAGTAAGACAGTATAAAGATGCCTTTAGCTCTTAGCCACTCAAATGCCAAATTAGTTCATTAACACTGTATCCCAGGAAAAAGTATCCCAGAAATATGTTAATTATCTTTAAAAATCTGTAAAATAATCACTTAAAAAGGTCTACAAAATTAAGGCTAATCCTATCTTTATAAAACTGTCAATTTACACATGTAGTCTCAAGTCGCAGACCTTTTTTGTAAAACATAATGTAGTTTTTTTTTCTAAATTCAATCTATCAAAATAGACCATTGACAAAATGACCATTGACGGTCAGTTTTTTTTAGCCCTGTGCTTGTCTCGTTAGCTGGCAGGTATTACCCATGTGTTAGGGTTAGGGTTAGCAGAGTTAATATTAGACAAGTGGTGAAAAGGTGGATATTAATAGATACCAGAAGGCCAGTGTATCTGTCTGATGTGTAACTTTTTTGTTATCAAATTCAAAGGTTCATCACATAAGGCTGGTGATGTGTCTGAGCTTACAGTGCCGTGTGTATTCACCCAGTGCATTGACCAGATTTTACTGAGTGACCTCTGTTCTCTCTGAAGGTGTAGGTAATGCCAGCGCCTGTGTAGTGGGGGAGAACATTTACGTAACTGGAGGTCACTATGGATACAGAGGGAGCTCCACCTATGAAAAAATCCAGGTGTACACTCCAGACGTCAATGAGTGGAGTATCATCACAGTCAGCCCACATCCAGGTATGAGACGATGGATATGGAATGTCAGGTATCTTTGCTTTAATTTTTTTTTTAAATTTAAAATTCTCGTACCTTTCAGAGTATGGACTGTGCACAGTGGCTCTCAACAACAAGCTGTATTTGGTGGGCGGACAAACAACGATGGCAGACTGCTACGACACAGAAAGAGACGAGTGGAGACCGATATCTGTGATGAAGGAGATGAGGATGGAGTGTGGGGCTGTGGTGATCAATGGCTGTATCTATGTTACAGGAGGATACTCGTACTCAAAGGGAACTTACCTGGAGAGCATTGAGAAGTATGACCCCGAACTGGACTCGTGGCAAATAGTGGGGACACTTCCCAGCGCTAGCAGATCACACGGGTGCATTAGTGTTCACGGTGTTTAGTGTTGAGTTGAACGCTTTTTATTTAATGATATTTGTGCCAAATGGATACAGACTGTGAGCTGTACTGTGCTCTCAAAGGATGCCAAGCTATTATGTTTTACACTGGGCCACTTTGGAGAACTACACTTTTGCCAAACATGAAGTACAACTGTACGACCTCACTTAAATCATGTTAGATTTCCATAGTGGGTTTTTAAAAATATTTATAATAATTTATAGATTATTATTCTAATTTAGTTTAATTCAAGCAGATAGTCTGATTAAACATAAATTATGTTTTAATGGAAACCTAAATTCTGTATATATTTAACAGTCAAAATGCCTTGGCTGTTTTGGTGACATTATGAAACTCAGGCAGCTTAGTCATGGAAACAGGACAGGAACTCTCCTGACAATTCACCAGTTTATAAATTAAAGATCAATATCTGTAGAGAGAGTTTTTTTGGGAAGTACAGACACAATATTTTACTTCCTGCAGCTGCTTCAAAAATAATTTATTTAGAGGAATATGTTAAATATGAATTTACATATATTACATAGTGTGTATTATTACAATATGAGGTTATTCATACTGGTGTAATATGTAAGCTAATTTACGAATAACTGCAGAAGAATATTTAGATACATTTTATGAGTAATGATCAGAGTAAAAAATGCCTTTTTGCAAATTAGCCATTTACCGGTGGTATTAGAGCCCTTTAGCGAACAAAAGTTGAACATCATGTGAAACTTCGTACAGTATTATGCGTTGACTAGAAGGCTTCGTACACAAATACATACATAGAGATTATTTGTTCACGTAAAATATGTAATACCAGCTAGAGCCTAAATTTAGATGCTATTTTTTGGTGTATCGACAAACCAGCTTTTGCAAGGACAGAGTTGGCCATTTTTGATAATCATTTATTCTGGTGTATTATTTATGATTGTTAAGAGCTAAGATTTCACTGAGAAAAAACAATGGTACTGTTGGAATGTGTGAAAATCATTTCATAGATTTTTTTTAATGCCTATACCTAAATCAATGAACAAAGGGTTATATACATTTAACAAAAGTATTTCTATACTTTTATGGAATTTTTCTGAAGTAATTTACTAGCATTGCTTATTAATTTTTTTCTTTTCTTTTCTTTTTTTTTCTTTTTTTCTCGGATCCATTAAAATACCATTTTAACATGCACATGTGTTTGTTTTCTTCTAAAAATAGAGCCCTGTTAATGAAACGTCAGCAACATAAATTATACCCTAAATGTTGATATGTTGATATGAATATAATATTTTGTGAATTTGTGAATGCCTCCCGCAGGTTGTTTGTATAATTAAGCGTTTTGGTAACTGAGACATGTTGTGACAATAGACCAAGTATCTGATTAATCAAAATTTTATCGTTTAAATATCCTATTGAAACATTTAATTTTTGACATTTAATAAACCATCTGTTTTAAGTATTAAAACCAAATTTTCACTTTTTTGGAGATTATAGCACCACTCTGCGGCAGCTGGCTGTAACACACATGCTTTTACATTTGTAATGTGTGCTGGAACTGAGTCTTTTTGGTCGTCGCTGTTCGCCGTAGCACGCAGTTTTCACAACGTGCAAGCAACGAAGTCAAGACTTGAGTTTTCGTCAAAAACCGCTGCGGACGCCAAATAACTACAGCGTGAGATATGTTTTTATATATATTTAATTTTTTATATATTTCTTATTTAATGTATATGGTAAACGTTGTAAAATGGTTAGAGCGGGTGAAAAAACACGTTCGGCGTCTTTCGTGCTACACGCTTGTCGCTTGAAACAAACTATGAATATGAATGGATTATTACAATTTTTCAATTCAAATGACTCAAGTCTACTTTAATAGTGATGAGAAATACTTGTGCGATGCTCCTTTGCAGAGACTCGTACCTAATTTTATGTTTGTGATAATATAGCATGTTAGCCGTTCAGCTAGTTGCAGCGCCGGCATGACATCGGGGCTAGTCCAATTATATTCTACTGAAATGCTGCAATGTTGACATTTGGTAGTGCAAAGGACGTTGACAGATTGCCGAGTATTTGTCAAATGTTAGTGCAAAGGACGTTGACAGATTGCCGAAGATTCGTCTACAGAGCATATCTTGTCACCATGATTATTTTTTACCAATCATTAAAGCATTGTGTCTGCTTATGGATGACGTCTTATAAAGTTTCGAAGTTCTTTAAGCCACCTTCAATGGTACATGAGAAAACTACTGTTAAACTACGACTTGAATTGAAATGTAGTGTTCAGTTTTATTTTGGGACTCTGTGGAATATGCAGCTCCCCATCCCTGACTAGCAGAGGGTGCCAACGTCGTTTTTGTTCGATTTTTTGATGTCCAGCCAAACAAAGCAGGTTGTGATATACAGTAGATGTCTGATTGAGATTTCTGCCTATTTTACCTATACACCTAATACCTAATAACCAGGTACTGTAAAAAGTCTAAATCTAGCGACTCTTTAGCACAACCAAAAAGAATATCTAAACATGTTTTTACTTTAAAGAGTCTCGTCCATTGGAATGTTACGACATTTATATTAATCAAGGTCACTTTAACTTCACAGGACGACCATGGAAGCAGATCAAGAGATGTCTTCAGTTGAAATGAAGGTGGTTAGACAAATTGAGGTAAGTGTCGCATTGTATTTTTAAACTAAAGACAATCCCACAATTTTTGACCACAAACACACGTTGGTGACAAGCGATAGCAGCCCTGTATAACACATATGTGTTTCATTAATGTCTGAAGTGTGTCTTTGTTTTCTAGTACTATTTTGGAGACCACAATCTTCCAAAGGATAAGTTTCTCAAAGAACAACTGCTGCTTGATGATGGCTGGGTGCCTTTGGAAACTATGCTAAAATTTAACAGGTTTGTTTGTTGTTTTATCCTGTCTCCATATTTTCACATTTCAGCTAATATGGAATCTTGACTCATCTAAGCCATCTTTTTATACCGGCGTTAATATGTGATCCCAGTGCCATTTAGAGAGTGGGAGTCAAATAACAACAATGCCACAGCATTGTACAGGCTGGTGTTGTTCCAGTGTTGGTAATAAACCAGTGTCATTCCTCAGGACAGTGTCATATCTGACAGCTGGACTTATCAAAAACTCCCAGGATAATTGGACACAAATGTTTGAAAAAGTAGAAACCAGCATGTTTGTTGACAGATGATTCAGAAATATTTGCTTTGGCATCAATAAATTGCTTCAGATTTGCTCAAGATTATTGCAATAGACAGTGAATCATCAAACAGAAGTGGACTAAAAAGACTGATGACTAATCAGTCTGCAAACCCAGTGCATGACTGACGAAAGGTCAGGCAAGATTATTCCATCTCCACACCCCTCCTATGTTTCTTAGTTTTCACAGCCATTCTGTGATGGGTTGATATGGGCTCACATTATTGAAGATATATATATATAATTTTTTTCTACATTATTTCTTTTTTTAAAGCATGACAATTTAAGCCGTCAAAACTGTCCACAGAGTTCTTCTTTATATCATGTAGTTATACAAATATCCTTTTATTTCTTCTGCAGACTGAAGTCTATAACCACAGAGAGCAGCGTCATTGTCACAGCTCTACAGAAATCAAAGACTGGCCTCGTGGAAATCAGTGAAGACAAGACAAAGATCAGGAGGTCCCCAGATAAGCCCTTACCTGACTTTAATGATGAATACAAGGATGCTGTCAAACACAAATCTGTCTACATGGTAGGTTGGCTGATATGTCTCCACCAAATTCATAGGGAACAATCAATTTTTCCTCTGTTGAATAGTTTTTTTATGCTTTGATTTGGCACATGTTTTAATGTCATACTGTGAGCTAAAGATGGGCTCCTTTGGGGCTAGTGTTTCCCAACCTTTTTTGTGACACAACACATAATTTACATTACAAAAATGTTTGATGAAATGACTTTCTAGTTTTAATATACCCTGGCCTAGATAGTTTATTGCTGAAATACACAAAGTTCCCTTCAATTGCTCTAAGTAATAGCCATCTGCTGCCACCCAGTGGAAGAATATTTAATTTTTCTGCCTTATATTTTCTATATAAGCTTCTTTTGCAATCTGTATATATTTTTTGTGTGATTCTAGAAAGGGTTTCCCCTGGAAACTACACTGGATGAAATTCAGGAATGGCTGTCTAGTAAAGGAACCATAGAAAACATCCAAATGAGGAGAAACCTCCAGAGGCAGTTTAAGGTAACACGGGTGTATTCCTGACAGTGAAATGTTTCTTTGGTTTTAGAAGGAATGGTGATAGCATGTCTCTTTGCAGGGCTCAGTTTTCATCTGCTTCAACACAGAGGAGTCTTCCAAACAGTTCCTCGAACGTTCAGACATAAAGTCATTCAAAGACAATGAGCTGCTTGTGTTATCAAGGTAAATAGTGTTAGCATATAATTTCATCTCTACCTCGCTCTGTACAAAAGATGGAGGTTCTTATTGAGGCCAATCTATTTTTTGTATTAAAACAATTTGGGGAAAAAGAGAACCAAGTAAGAAAGATTAAAATGTATTTACTAAGTTCATTCTGAACTTTGGATCGTGATCAGACTCATGCTACAGTAACCTAACTATAAAAGGTTTAACATGGCTTTTATTAGGACCAATTGTGACCACACCTGTGTGACGCTCGCATGTTTATATTTATCCAACTTCCTGGTGAACACTGTTTTGGCAAAACTGTGTTCAAAACACTACATCAAATCACTATTTACAAAATTGAAAAACGGTGCCATTTCCTTTTAAGATACTGAAAATGTTGTAACTGTGAATGAAAGTGTACAAACACTTTGATGCTATTTGGCACCTTTTGAATATGATTGAACATCTCTGACATATGATGCTTTTAAGAGGATCTTACCATATGCCTGTGTTCATTTTATAAGAATTTCCATGACATTTAGCCAACAGGCTGTATGAAAACATGCTAAATGTTTTTTTATTATTTAGTATTTCCAGTACTTGTGCTCAAGAAAGCAAAGATGTTTTAACAAATAATCAGTCCTACTGTGATCTTTTTTCAGGGAAGACTACCATGCAAAGAAAGCAGAAGAGCGCAAACAGTCCAAAGCAGAGAATAAAGCCAAAGCTAAGCAGTGAGTATGTTTTGTCTCAGTGTCATATTCCAACATTTTTATAAACATTTGCTAAATTAAACAATGTCATGCAGAGACAAGGAGCAGCAACAGAAAGAGGCAGAAGAAAAAGAAATGGTAGGATTTTCTCAGCTTATGTAGTGAATCTTGTTCTTCTGATGTAGTGAGTCGCTTCATGGTATAGTGTATTGTTTTAAAAGGATTCATATTTTGTCAGCAGGCCAGTGTGCACTTAAGACTCACGTCACCTGAACGCTAACTGTGTCGTAGGGTTTGCTTCTGGAGGAACAGTCCGGCTGCTTGTTGAGGTTTTCAGGAGAACTGGAAGATGTTTCCAGAGAGGACTTTCACGTGTTGTTCTCAGGACACGGGAAGATAAAGTGGGTCGATTTTACCAGAGGAGCCAAAGAGGTAAAACCCAAACATTAACGTCGTCAGTTTTAACATTGACCAGATGGCAGAAGAGCAATGTTTAACATTTTATATATTTACCTCCATAAAGGGCACTCTACTATTTGATGGGAAAGCAAAAGAGGCATTCGAGAAGGCCAAGGAGGCAAATGGAGGGGAGCTAAAAATCAAGGACAACAGTGTGACATGGCAGGTGCTGGAGGGAGACGACGAGAAGGAGGAATTGAAAAAGATTATCGAAGCTCAACAGGAGTCATACAGCAGGTCCAGAGGCAGAGGTGAATACGACGGGGATTCAAAAATCTAATTATTAGGTTGTGTTTTCTCTCACTTAAATTCTGTATGTTTTATGTCTTAAGGTGGAAGAGGAAGATCTGGTGGCAGGGGCAGAGGTGGCAAAAGGGGCAGAGGTGGCCGGGATCAGGGGAGAGCACATTATCAGGGCAAAAAGACAAAGTTCGACAGTGATGATGAAGGCGTTGAAGAGGGTGAGTCAAGATTTTCAGCTGTATCAAATTAGTGTGCCAACCAACGGGGTCGCACTATGTTAATTAGTAAACAGCATCTGAAGTTATAATAGTCCAGGTCTCGGTGTAATAGTGTGGGTGGGAGGGACTAGAGGCTAAAAAGGTCATTTGTGGTGGTTGAGTATTTCATAAGTAATTTCCTTCATTTTTTTTTTTTTTCATAAGTAATTTCCTTCATTTTTTTTTTTTTTCATAAGTAATTTCCTTCATTTTTTTTTTTTTTCAGCACCTTCGACTCAGAAGAGAGAACGGGACGATGCTGATGGTCCTGCAGCAAAAGTTGCCAAAACAGAAAATGGATCTTAGTCACAAGAATACTTTTTTTCTTTTTTTTTTGTGAAAACATTTATTATAAACAGAAACAGAGACAATATAAAATCCATTCCACTTAAAACTTCAGGTTTTTGAGAATCTTAAGAAATCCACTTGGATGTCGACCTAAAGAAAAAAAGAGAAAAGTTAAACAGTGATCGCCATCAGATATCATCAGATGCCTTTTAAGTCCCTGTACAATAATGTTCATCGATTATGTAGTTTTGTTTGTAACATTTTAAGGTATTAAACACATGATCTAACTGGGACATTTTAGTTAGTTTTGTAAGGCCTGTGGAGTTGATGCCCCACTGTGTGTATTTTGTTTTTCATTGAATTCCAATAATGAGTGAGAACATCTGCTTTGCTGTTTTTTAAGTTTGCATATGTGAATAGAAAATAAAACATTTCACAAAACAAGCTGGATTTTTGTTATTTGTCCACTGGACACATTGTAGTTGATGAAGTTCACATGAACTTACCGACTTCTTTTTGTGAAACTTGTAAGATGCCGGCAGGTCGTATCTGAGTTCTGCAGGCCAGAAAAGAAGACTTGAATGAATTCCCCCATCAGCCATGTTTACAGTATGTTCATTTACCATGATGTGTCCTGTGTTTTTTCTTTACCTGCTATGACTTCCATCTTTACTCCCCAGTCAGTAGCTTTTTTTTGTATGTGCTTTAATCAGAGGGTCACAGAAACACAGAGATGCAAAGATCAGGCATCCGTGAGGTAAATAAACTGAAATCAAGACGTGAAATGTAACGTTTTGTCACAAAAAAATGTTAAATAAGCCGTCACTCACCTCTCGTGTTGATGTTTTATGAAGTGAGTAGACTGCGGTCTTTGCCATTGTTAATGCAGTCTTTAGGAATTTCATGTCCATTCCTTTGACATTGATCAAAGTAAACAGACATGAACAGAAAGTTTGTACCACTGAGTTAAAACTGCAACTTTGGTGATTGAAATGTGGGAATAGAACATCTAGTGGTGAGATACTGTACATGTTTGTAGGGTAATCTTAAGCTGCCATTAAAACACAAAAAGTTTTAAACGTATAAAAAAGAAAGTACAAAAGTAACAGCGCATGTTACAAACCTTGGTTGTGTTTGGTTCCAAATGGTGGATTCATGATGACTGTGTCAAACTTTTGGGCATAAGCATCTGGCTCAAGAGAACACAGATCACACTGGACCAAATCCACATTAGAGATCTCAAATTCATCAACGTTTCTTTTAAAAATGTCCAAGGCATCATCGTCAATGTCAAAGCCGACGCAGAGTCTAAAGTGAAGAAAGTTGGGTGTGGGTGAAAGAAAAACATTGAAATGTATTATTGTATTACAATACAACGTAGCAGGAAACTACATGTCGATTGTCTACTAATAATTCAAACAATTGATTTACACACATTGTATCGAATTAAATGAATGAGGGTGAACATTATCCTTTTTGATTGTTTTGATTTGTATTGTCTGACAACCCTTGTTTTATGAAACTCTACAGTTCAATCGTATTATAACATTATTCGAAAGATATTTGATAATATAACTAAATAACCACAATTCAAGCTACGTAGATACTGTCATCTCACCCTGCATCGAGCATCGCAGACCCGATACTGAGTACTCCACAACCACATCCCAGATCTGCCACCAGTCTGCCCTCGATGTCATCGAAAGTGTTGTGGATTGTGTAAAGCATACATGCTGTGGAAAACAGACAAGCAAATACTGTCAACAACCTCCACAAAACCCAAAACCAGCTGACCAGCTTTCTGCTTTTGACACCTGCTATGTGGGGACTAGTTGGGTACTGCTCCAGAAGGATTTTTGGTTCTTCAAACACGTCCACCTGCTGCAGACAACTCTCCAGTTCCTTAAGTTTCATCCCGACTCACTGTAAAACCACAACTAAGAGTACCCTACACCGAGTTGAATTTTATTTGAGACTATGTTTTCCAGCTGTAATTTCTGTGGTTGTGTTTTCGAGCATGTTGCACATACGTAATTTCCGTCTTGTGTGCACCCCTCAAAACAATCCGTCCGTGGGCGTGCCACGGACGGATTGTTTTGTGACACCTTGTTTTGTGACACCTGATATTCAGTTCCTACGCAGACGTTTGAGCATCCTTTTCGGTCGTTTTTCTTAACAGCCTGCATCCATAACGACATCGTATTTTTTTTTTTTTTATTAGATCTTGTAGTGCAATAATGATATGAAGTGCATTTCAAAATACCAGGAACATTATTGCTGAAGGTAAAACATAATTTGACCTGACCTCAAAGAAGTGGCGCAGAATCTACGTAGTGAACTGAATAAAGGCTCCTTACTAGAAGATGATAGTATCTGAGAAAAGCAGAATGGACCGCAACTAAAAACTTTAATTAAAGCTTTAATTATTTCCCCATATTCAACAAATGTATACACATCATTTTCAAGTGATTTATATTGTATAGGAAAAGTATCTGTTTTATATAAAGATAAAAGGACAGCTTACATGAAGGCGTTTCTTTATAAACATGGGACAATAACTAACAGAAAAAAGCAGGGATGCAACATTATGGATGTGACGAGACTGGGGTGGTCCTGCACAGGGTTTGTTGTTGCCTGGAAACAGAAATAACAAAACAACACTGACATAGTGCCCGAGTTAAATCTAAAACCAAAAGCAGCTATTGCACTGAAGATTTTAACAAATACACCGGGCTCGTTGGATTGAAAAACTGTAGGAAAAATAAATTAGTATCTTTTTTACACCAAGGGAGTTGTTAGAAGTCCACCAGAAAACGCAACGAGCCATATCGCGAGAAAGCCCGAGAACATGGTAGCAAGACAACAAAAATAAATTTGTGGACAACAAGCCAGAGTGCATGATGGCGGCGTCGCTGCTGCGCCGGGACAAGAAAGCTACTGCCGCCCACTTTAAGGCAGACTTGAACCGGACTGACAATTCTTCCGGCGTCCGGCAACTACAGGAGCTGCTCGACGAGGTGCTAAATCCAGAGAAACCAGCAACGGACACGGAGGCTCTTGACTGGTGTAAATGTCTGATTGCAGGAGGCGAAGGTTTCGAGGAGTTCTGCAAAACGGTCCGATCCTATGACAACGCTACTCTGTGCGGCTTGGTATGGACCGCTAATTTCGTGGCGTATCGATGCCGGACGTGTGGCATCTCTCCGTGCATGTCGCTGTGTGCTGAGTGCTTTAACAACGGGGACCATACGGGCCATGATTTCAACATGTTCAGGAGCCAGGCTGGCGGGGCCTGTGACTGTGGAGACAGTAATGTCATGCGAGAGAGTGGGTAAGTACAGGCTAGCTATGAGCTAAGCTACACGGTTACTTAGCCTCGGTTATGGCCACTTACGGCTTGAGAGCTGTCATCTGTCAATTTCCACATTTGTAATGGGCATCGTCCAGTGTTTGAGCGCCAAGATTCGAGACAGTTCCATCAGTGACGTGCTCATTATCAACTGTCAGTTGTCGTTGTTGTGATGCTCATGGTTAGTGATGGAGCAAATGACGATGACTGGACGATAATGGGCATAACGGCTCTGCTAATAAATAATATTTTAACTGATGTTAGTAATGTCTAATATATGCTGGTGTATGAAGCTGTGGAAACATATATTTTTTTAAATTTTATCCTTTCCCAAAAAATCAGTTACGCAATAGATTGGTTTAAAATCTCTTACGCAATAGATTGGTTTAAAATAACCAATAAGATAATTTATTTATACCTCGTTTATTTACAAAATATGTATTTAAATATAAATATTTACTTAATTCAGGACCAATAACTATGTTACATTTGTAAAAATAAAATTAAAACAACTTGTTTTTAAAAAAGTAATAGTATGCAGTTTGTTTGTTGTTTTGCGTACTTTTAATATACTTGCTATACCTGTCTTTTCCTGCAAGGGTGCTATTTACCCTACCCTACCACTATGTGACTATTCTGTTATTATGGTTGTCTACGATCTTCATTTTCTAACTTGCTTAAAGCATTTCACAAAACAAAATTAATATTTAGGTGAGGGTCCAAGTTTTTGTCCATAAAATAAAATAATTAAAATGATTGAGCCATTAAACAGAAGCTTCTTAGCCACTGTTTAAATGGACTTCAATTCTGTGTGACCTTAAAATGACACTAAGAAAACATTCATCCTTTGTACAGTTATGCAGATAAACAGTATCACATTCTAACAGTTATTTAAATGTATTACTTTTTTATTTGTACAGATTTTGCAGACGGCATCGGTTAAGAACTGGAGAAAATATACCTTTAATACCTCGAGATCTTCTTTTGATGTCTGAGCTGGTTCTTCCTCGATTTATCCTGAGCACCATCCAGTATCTGAGGGATGGATACGTTGAGCCAGGTGAATATACAACATTAACATGGATATCAACTTCCGAGTTTAAACAGAATTTTAGGAAAAGAAAATTAAATTTATTGTAAATTTCCTCGGATAAATGTTAACTACACAACTTGGTTCTACTCCACTCAGTGGACTCTGGTGTCGCACAATTGTTTGAAACCACTGTCTCCACAAAGTACCGCATGTCATTTCTTTTGTCTGTTATCTGGCCCTACCAGACACCTCAACAGAGAGAGATCTTCACAAAGTTCTTCAGCAGCTGGATCCTCAGATCTCGTTCTTGGAGGAGCTCACAAAGATGGGTGGAGCCATGAGAACTGTGCTGACAAAGATCTTGACAAATCTGCAAACATTCAAAGAGTTGAGCATGGGTAAGTAACCAGAACAATACAACCTAAACAGTAGCATTTTTTGTCTTCCAAAACCTCCAAATCCCTTATTAGTGACAAGTTTGTCTATGTCTCTGAAATGGAGAGATCTGAATCATCTCATACAAAACTAATGAGGTGGCACTGGCCTTTAATCTTAACATGCAGCATGACTGATGTAATCCCTTTGTTCTCTGTTTCAGGCCAAGAAGAGAATGCATATGCTAAAAACAACTACGACAAATATCTGTCAGCTTTGAAGAATTCTGGCCTGGTGTCTGTGGAGGAGAAAGCCCAGGGTGCTACTGGAGAGGCTGCTGTCGGTGCAGAGGGGGGTGCAGGGGCAATGGCCCTGTTAGGTGAGCTGTACATTTTCAGTAATGATGAATAGAATCTACTAAATGTCATTCAAAAATGTAATCACCTTCTGCATCATGGATCACTTGTTGCTAACCGTTGTAATTTCAGAATAAGTTTTGTAAAATTCTAAAAAATTCTAAACTTCTTTGTGTTTATTTTATTTTTGCAGGTGCCACTGCGCCTGGAAGTCCAGACGGGTCTGCCAAAGAGGTTGGTGTTGACATTAGCCACACAAATTTTTTTTTTTTTTGAGTCAACTACTATTGCAGTAATTTAATACACCACAGGCCACTGGAGAAAGTCAAATCAAAGTCTACAACTTAGCAGTCTTTCATTGATGAACTTAAGAAAGAGATTCCTGGCACCTTCTCTAAACAACACAAGGATCCTAAATGCCAGTGTGCCAAGTGCTTTTTAATAGTTTTGTCTCATGCTTATTTATTTATACTCTCAGGAAGACCAAGATGGAGGACAGTCAGTGGGTCAGAGGAAGAGGGTAAAGCTCAGCAGCAGTACCAAAGGTATGAAATGCATCGATAGATTATTACATTTGACTTTTTGCTAGACTGTTGTGGTTTTATATTAATTAACTGATTTATATTCTTATGTCAGGTCCAAGGATAATTGAGTCACTGAAACACAAATGCTTTCTGGAGGAGCTGTTGTTTTGGACAATAAAATATGAGTTTCCCCAGAAGATGGTCACTTTCCTACTGAACATGTTGCCAGACCAAGATTACAAGGTACGTGTATCAGCAGATTTAAATGTCTCCCTCACGCCCTGTACTATGACCGTGAGCTCTAATAGTCTTCTCTGCCTCCTACAGATCAACTTTACAAAAACATTTGTTCAGCATTATGCATTCATCATGAAAACGCTGATGAAGAGCCACGAGTCCGACACCATGTCCAACCGCATTGTACATATTAGTGTTCAGCTGTTCAGTAACAAGGAGCTGGCCCGACACATGGCAGAGGAGTGTCATCTTCTGGACATCATGGTCTCCGTGCTCCTCTACATGATGGAGAGTTGCCTTATTAAAAGTGAACTTCAAGGTGAGTTTTCTCCTTTTTTTTTTTTTTTTTAGTTCATGTTTTTTAATAACTTCACCCACCTTGAACCTCAAAATTAATGTGATATTTTTTTCTTCTTCTTTTTTTTTATAGATGAAGAAAACAATCGCCACGTGGTGGTGAACTGCAGTGAGGCACTGCTGAAGAACAACACCTACTGGCCCTTAGTTAGTGATTTTATAAACATCCTCTCACACCAAAGTGTAGCTAAGAAGTTCCTGGAGGACCACTCCTTGTTGATGCTCTGGATGAGCTTTGTGTCGTTTTTCCAGGGTAAGTCAGGATGTTGATGATGAATGGACAATGAGAGGTTTTTAGCTGCAGATCAAGGTAAATGTACTTGGCTCTAATGAAGTTAGAAAGTTATTAGGACTATTGTTGAGACCCCCAGGTTGACACATTCACAGTTATCGTTCAGAACTCTATTAGAAATTAAACCAAATTAAAACACTGTAGTTACTGAACTCTGATTCACATTAATGTAAGGAAATAAATCTACAAATCAGTGCATCCCCCCCCAACCCCCACTTTGGGACATAAAGGAAAATACTAAAAATTGACCTTTATTTGGATTGCTCGCTTCATCACAACAGATTGCGCCCCTTAGTTGGTGTGGCCTTTGAGATGATTTATATTTCCTGGCTAATTTTAGGCTTTATTGGGCTGACTTTTAGATGGCTCAGCTAATTTTGAAGATATCTTCTGCTGCATCTATTTTTTGATCTGCAGAACTTAAGCTTGACATTAATGATGCCATTAAAAGCCCTGATAACATGAAAGTTTTAGGGCAAATACAGATACTTCAAGAGTCTGAGTTTATTGGCTACATTTGCTCAAATACTGTTAATACTTCATAACAAACCTTAATCTTGGGTTTTGGTGGAAAGAGACAAAAATCCCTTATCATTCTTACTTAAGGGCAGTCGCTCCCAAACTTTTACTGCAGCGCCACCTGTTGCTGATAGAACTATTACTAAGACCCTCCACTGAGATATTCACACCTATTGCTTCAAAACTACTCAACTTTATGTATGACAATAATTCCAGCAAGATTGCTATTAAAACAAAGAAATACAATTACAAAGCTTTTAAAATAAATTTGAATAAAAATTCCTTTGCTTTGACCTGACACTGACCTTAGGAACCACTGCATTAACAAGCACAGAGTTATACAGTGACGTTAGAGCAGTATTAAAAGTATATTGTGCTTGTTTGATTTTATTGAAATCATATCATGTGGGCTGGTAATACTTGTGCAGTGAGGTTTTTACACTGCAGTAATGTGCCTACTCATGAATGCTTTGGAGCTCACCAGTGCTGTACTAAATATAAAATACCTTATTTAAAGATTTGTGAGGTGTCTGACGCTTTGTCACCAAATTAGAATTGTGGCCAGAGCTGCTCACTGGCTACGTGAACTCTTCCAACGCCCTAAAAATAAAACCTGGTGCATGCACGGTGTGTTTGAGCTTCCTCTCTGAGAGGTGCTGTGCACAAATGCAGCTTTACATCTATGCACGCCTTCAGAACTAGTTTTGTCTTAAGTCATTTCCTGTGCAGGACTGTTCTGAAAATGTCTGAATGCAGGTCAAACACCATTGATATATATTTTCTTACCTTTGGAATGCTGGCATTGAAGGCAAACGACTTTGTCAACTTTTGTGTTTTTTTTTCTTTATTTCAGGTATGAACCTAAATAAGCGAGAGTTAAATGAACATGTGGAATTTGAGTCTCAGACATACTATGCAGCCTTTGCAGCCGAACTTGAGGCCTGTGCCCAACCAATGTGGGGTCTGTTGGCACACTGCAAATTCAAAGTAAGTCCACTGCTTATTAAACAAAACTCCATTGCTGGATACACGGATGGATAATATGAAGCCAAAGATAAAGTGTTAAAATGTGATATTGCCCATTATAGGAGACTCAGGAATATACTAAAACTCTGGTACGCTATTGTTTGGAGACCCTCCAGATCTGGTTTGACGCCATTACTTTCATTGATGAGGTACAGTGTAACAGAAATACAGTGTTGACATAAACACACACACTTCTTTTCTGTTCTAATGACGTGTGTATCTCTAACAGCCGGCTCCAAACCAAGTTACCTTTCACCTGCCGCTGCACCGCTACTATGCTTTGTTCCTCAGTAAGGTATGTTAGATGTTCTCCCCATGAATGTATGGCTTTGTTCTGAGTCGTTGTTATTGCTTGTCTGATTTTCGGGCTAACATTTTTCAGGCAATAAAGTGCCAAGGCCTGGACCTGGACAGTCTCCTGCCTGATCCAGAGATGCTGATGAAGATTATGGTGCACCCACTCCAGATCCAGGTCTACAGCAATACATGGTCATTTAATGAGGAAAATCCATGTGTTCAGCCATGTATTTATATTTCTATTTCTGTAATTGTAGGCGTGTTTATCGGAGATCCACAGCAACATGTGGGTCAGGAACGGGCTGCAGATCAAAGGTCAAGCTATGACCTACGTGCAGTCTCACTTCTGCAACTCCATGATTGACCCGGATATCTTCTTGCTCCAGGTTAAGCGAGAGCACATACAAATATTGTATGCGAGAGTTTACTTGTTTGTTTGTTTTTTTAACTCTTCCTAATGTATTTTCTCAGGTGTGTGCGTCAAGGCTGGATCCTGACTATTTCATCTCCAGTGTTTTCGAGAGGTCAGCCAACCTTTTCTCCCTGACCTTCCTCCAGTTCCACACACACGGTCATGCGTTTCATACATTGTTTTCTGATACGCAGGTTTAAAGTGGTCGACATGTTGACCATGGCTTCTCAGCATCAGAATGCTGTGTTGGACTCTGAGCAAGAGAGACCGATGCTTGAAGGAGCTCTGACCTTTCTGGTCATACTCACCAGCCTTCGTATACACCTGGGTACGTTTTTATTAACCACTCAGGTTCTTGGAAATACCACAGCCACTGAAGTCAGCACAGAACTTTAAAGCCTGTTCCAAGAATATAATCCATAGGAAGTGAAGTGCGTTTATTTATTTTCCTTAACACTGTAAGGGTTAATTTCATTAAATAAATTAAAGTAAATATAAGTCTGTCAAGTTAATGCTTTGACTGTTTTAATTGATTTGTGAGGATTCATTAAGTTAAATCTGTCAATTAATTTTAATCAATATATCTAATCTCCACCCTCAGGAATGACCGACGATGAGATCCTTCGGTCAGAGATGGTCTCCCAGCTGTGTATGAATGACCGTACCCACAGTGCACTGCTGGACCTTGTATCCTCCCATCTGGACGAATAAAATGGAGCTTAAAGTTTACGGTTTTATTTTAAAAAACTGCACTTTTCCTTAAAGTTGTTCACATAGATTCCAGAGTACCCCAACCCTAAGAGTGGCATTGGACCTGGGAGTTGTAGTTTTGAGGAGATGCTCTCCGCTGTGGCTGATTTCAAGGCTCCAGTGTTTGAGCCTGGAGGCTCCATGCAGCAGGGCATGTACACACCTAAAGGTAGGATGTCATTTTTTACATCAGTTACTACACAGCTTTCTTCCTCTGTGGTCATATTGGTTTCACTATGTAAGCACACTTTGTGAATTGTAAATCTCTGTTACACTTTGTGTACAACCATGTCAAACCCATTATGAAAAAATCTGTAGTGTTTTTTTTTGTTTGTGTGATAGGCTTGAGTGCATTATTCTCTGTTTGGATTTCCCTCCTGCATCAAACATTCAATTTGAATTTTTTGACCTAAACTTTAGTGGAGATTTACTGCCCTCTATTGGACATCTTTAGAATTGGACAGCAATATGGGAAAGACATATTTTAAAAGAATGGGGGTACAGTTAAAAGTAAATATTATATACTCAACCTATACTATAGCATCAACCTGTATTGAAAACATATATATGTATATATTTACTGTTATAAACTGAATATACTTTATATAGACCTTATATGTTGAAGTACTGATTTATTGCATGTTACTGTATGGCACAATATGTCTTTTTATGAATTCTTAGAGTATATAATCACTACTACAAAATTATATTTATGTTTGATTTTTTTATTTTATTTGAATTGCTCGTGATCTACCAGCACTCCCTTTGCAATCTATTAGTAGATTACGATCTACCTTCTATTAGGCACCTCTGCTCTGTACGTACAACATATAAAACTGGATGTACTTAGTACTTCAAAATATATCAATGCATGCTGTCGTACAGAATAGCTTCATTAAGAAGTTAAAGATGAAGAAGTCCTTTATTCTTCCTATAATGGGGAATTTAACAATTGATTTATAATAAATTTGATAACTGTGATATAAACTAAATAATAATGTACCCTTCAATAAAATAACATCACTCCAGTCACATGACCTCTACACTATTTCTAGTACATAATCCCAAGTATGAGCCATGTATTCTTATATGCAGGAAATGTACTGTATTGGTATTGCATCTGTCATTTATTGTGTCTGACCACTTGGGGTCAGACTTGCGCTTCTAAAAGAAAAGGAAGTGAAAATTGGAAATCAACATTGTCCTTCTAAAAGCAGAGTTTATATAGAACAAAACATGTTCTCCTTTTGTCTCACGTAGCCGAGGTGTGGGAGAAGGAGTTTGACCCCATCATGGTCATCCTCAGAACTGTGTATCGACGCGATGTCCAGTCAGCGATGGACAGATACTCAGCATTGTAAGTGTAACACAAAAGCAGGTAGCACCTCCGAGATTGCCTGTGTGACCTACATAGATGGTGGATACTTTTTAATCAAATGGTGTCGTAGTCATATGTTCCCATGTCCACATCACTGCACCCCGATCTGTTCAGTGTCACAGTGGCCCCTCCATCACCTGCTGTTGAAGGCACGTGATAAGAAAAGGTCGGGACACCTTGATGCCGGACTTGGTTCCAATTAGATCCCTGTCTAGGAAAATCAATGTATTATTTGAGGGTAAATTGTAATGGAGCTGAGAAAAGTGTTCTCCTTCTATTACGGCGTGGAGTGAAGACACCTCCTCAGATAAATGTTCAGGTGAAGCTGGTAAAGGCAGTACTTGAGGGTCATTTCTTTAAGGTTGCCGAAAGGGAAAGAAAACCAAAACTGCCCCACTTAGAGCTCCAGTGTTGAGGAATGGTCCGTGCAGATATCTGGCAGGATAAGTTGTGTGGTTAACTGCACCTCCTTCACGAGCTTGAACCTTTTCTTTCAGTTTTTGGCTTCCCAAGCCAAATGGAACAGAGCCAAATTTCCTCCAGAAACATATTCAAGCTGCCACTGCCAATTACACTTCGATACCAGCCTCATGTTGCTCATTCACTGGGTAGGAATATGATGGATTGCCTGTCAAGTGGGCCCTGGTGCTGTACAACAGTGATCCCAATTTCACTAATAGAGTCTGTGACCGCACTGCTCATCGGCTGTTCTCTTGCATAGACCGAAATCTTTTTGTGCAGTGAATAATCCTCAGCAGTATTGGATATGATTTAGTCAAACTCTTATTGTTTCACTTTGTGTGGAAATTCAAACTTTTCTTAGCCAATCAGCAGTTTTTATTAACAGATGTTTGTTTTTATTCCCTTGGTTTTTTTTTTCTTGTTAATGTTGGTTACATTCAGCTTGAAACAATCCGGCATTCACACTGGCAACCCCTGGCCACCGTACAAGGAGAGAACACCTCTGCACCCCTGTTACAAAGGCCTCATTAGGCTGCTGCACTGCAAGACGCTGCACATTGTCATTTTCACTCTCCTTTACAAGGTGAGCCTTTCACTGTCTATCCAGGTGCATTTCACACTGTATATGGACTGAAATAGACCTGTCTGCTGTGTTTTCATGTACATGTGGCATCATAAGTGTCATAAAATAAAAATGACTTTGCAATTAGTTCATGTTGGCATGTTACAAGACTCTAAAGATGAGGAAAAAAAAATCCTGCAGACACAGGATTATAAAGCTAATGGGTTTGGCATTTTAATGGCATTTATATTTTAAACAATTGATTCAACTGTTTCCTCCTTTTAGTCAACTATTGTACATTAGGACCCCACATTTACATTTGAAAATCTTAATTCAGAGGTGATTTAAACATGTTGTCCTGTACCTTTCAGATATGGATGGACCATCAGAACATGTCTGAGCATGTGCTCTGTATGGTGCTGTACCTGATTGAGCTCGGACTGGACAATCAAGTTCAAGACAACAAGGGAGATGAGGTCAGATTCTCGGGCAGCCACTGGCCACCGGTGATTACACTGCACAGTCAGCAGACCAGCATCTTACAAAAGGTGGTTCTATTCCTTCCAGGAACCTTGCATTGAGGAGCACTGCCACGACAGCTGGTTCCCTGGCATTGACCTCCTCTCCAATTTGCACCATGTCATCAATTTTGTGAGGGTCCGGGTCCCTGAGACGGCTCCTGAAGTGAAGAGAGAGGCTCCGCCCAGCACCAGCACTGAAGCATCCTCCTACGGACAGGTGAAGGAAACGCTGCTAAACTTTGACAACATTTATAGTCCTTAGTTTTGGGAATTTGCAGCCATCACCAGTTAATTTAATTTCATCAGATTGGCAGAAACATTTTAGCAATTGTTTCCAATCTGCTGTTCATCCAACAGACACCAACAAATAAAATGAAATATTGTTTTTTAACTCCTTGCACCCCATACACATTTTTATAATCTTATTAGCATAAAAAATATGCTACTGTACAAAAAATGTCAAATACATCTCCACCAGAGCTGAGCTTCTATGTGGTGCGGTACACCTCTAACACAGATGTGGAAATACCTTAGAGAGAGGCCTCATTTTGAAAGTGGGTGGCCTGGTCCCCTGGTGGACAATGTAGCTTTTGCTCTGGGAACACAGCAAAGTCAAAGAATTTAAATTTCAGTAGTTTTTTTATTTGTCCCACAGCTAGTGAGTCAACTAGTTTAAATCCAATATAGTCTTTAGTTTATTGAGTGACTTTCTTGCTTGAACATTCTGAGAAAAAAAAAACATAAATTAGAGTTATTCTGCTTTCACTGATTAATGAGCAAACAATTATTTACTTTCCTCCTGTTTCCACAACATTGAACCCTGGGTATCAGCAGGGGGCACTGTGCAAACTCCAGATAAATTATGATTTACAGTGTTAATTCTAAGTTTAATGAATCACTTACTTCCCCCATATTTCCTTCAGAGCTCAGTAATGGCACGAGCCTCTTCATCATCTTATTCCATTTGTCATCGTCATCATTATTATTATTGTGCTTATTTGCTGTACTTGCTTCACAGAACTCCCGTCGTCTGTCGTGCAATTGGAGAGAGGTAGCTGTCAGCACCTGTTTGTTCTGTGCTTCATAAAAGGGTGTTTGCTCTGATGTCACTGTCGGCTGATTTTGTATTTTTGATCTTTATAATAAAAATGAATTTCTGTGCACGTGTTTTCCCGGTTCCTCCTCAGGGGGTGGTCTGCTGTACTGTGTCTGGGTGTGAGTACAATGTCATGCTTCAGCAGTTTCCCTCCCTTCTTCGACTGCTGAAACTAATTATGTGTGTAATGCAGGTTTGGGTAAATGCTTTTTAACCGCATGTCAGTATGATGGATGTCGCCTTGACTCGGGTGTATGATGTATGTTTATTTAACGGTGCGGCTCAGGTGCTTTTTGGCAGGTCAGGTCAGGGCTATCCTTCAGAGAGCTTCTGAGTTTTTACATCAGAATGATTAGAAGTTTCCCAGCGTTCTGTTGTTCCGTCTGCACAGAGGCTGAGAAACGTCAGCTGACATTTAGACAAATGTGATGACTTTATGCATCGTCTCTGTCCAACGATGGTGGTGAAACACCATTCCAACCCTTCAGGTTCTGTCAGGACTGGTATTGGTATTTATAGAGTGTTTGAACTGACTGACAGCTCTGTGTCAGTCACAGTCAGGATAGAGATGGAGTTTGATGAGATGTTTGTCACGGTTCTTTAGTTTCTTCTTATTGTGTTGTTATAAAGTCAGTGCTTAATTACAGTACATGCTGGATAACATGGATTCTTTGAAAAGGGGGGACATATTATTGTTTATAACTGTCTTTATAAATATTTATTGTTTTTTTTTCACTTTATAGAACCTGCGTGAAGCTCAGATGTTTAGCCTCGTGGCGGAGCGTAGGCGGAAGTTCCAGGAGATAATCAACCGCAGCAACACGGAAGCCGCTCAAGTCATCAGGCCTAAGGGCTCATCAACACGTTGGGTTCCACCTGGTTCTCCTCCCCAGATGGTGACAGAGATCCTAGAAATCAGAGAAAGCATGTTGTCCCTTCTCATCAAGCTCCACCAGAAACTGACGTCCAAACAGAACTCTCTGTCGGCGTCCTGGCTAGAGGACATGGACACCAGCCGTCACGGTCACGGAGACGGCATTACCGCCATTGAGCGCATTCTCACCAAGGCGGCCACACGCAGCTGTCAAATCAAGCGTAGCATCCAGGACATTTGTGGAAAGGTGTGTCCTCCAGTACCACCGAAGAAGAACAGTCCCACTGATAAGAAAGCCATGGACAAAGAGGAGAGGTAGGTTATACAGCAAAGGCATTTCCTCATTAAAACACACTGATGGATGACTGATAGTTTTTGTTTGAAAACAAAGTCAAGGCCTAACTACAGAAATGTGTTTTATATCTATTAGAAATTATTAGTTATTCTTGTTTTTTAATATTATTAGTATTCCTTTATCTATTGGCTGTTGATGTATGGATGTGCAGATTTGGGATGATAACATTTTCATGATATTAATATGAATAAGTCACAGCAAAAGCTGATAAAACGAATCTTAAAACAACAAACAACAAAGCCAAAAATTGGGGGAAAAAAACCTAGTCTGTCAGGTTTTTGGCCCTCCACTTCCTACCCCGACCCTCTCTCTCCCCCACCTGTCTCCCAGTCCCCTCTTGTAATGATGATGGAATAGGCCATAACCATTTCATAATAACCTGCTTTTTAGCTTGGCTTCCCCCTGTAGACAAAGGTATAAAGGTAAAATCCACTCCTGCTCTCTCAAACTGTGCAGTTTCCATGGCGACAGTCAGCCAGTCGTGTGGAGTGGGGGGGGGGGGGGGGGGGGGGGGGGGTGAGCAGGGAGGGGGGGACGCGCCAGTCGC